CCCCCCCCCCCCCCCCCCCCCCCCCCCCCGCCCGGGCCCAGTTAGCCCCGAGCGCAGAGGTGTGGCTGCAGCCGGGTTCAGGCACTCCGGGAGAAAAGCTGCGTCCTCACTACAAGCAGGGGGCATGGCAGCCATGCCCCAGTGCCCCCCTGTGGGCCCTTGACCTTGGTGGGTCCTCACAGGTCGAGCTGGCTCCTGGCCTAGCAAGGGGTCTTATCGGCTTATGGCCACAGCAGCTCTGTTTCTCGAGAACAGTCAAGTGAAATACAGTTCGGAACCGAACACCGAGAGCACCTTGGCGGCCGGGGGCATGGTTGCGGCGTCCAAAGTCAAGTCCGTGCTCTGCCCTGACCAGCTGGGTGGCCGTGGACGGCAGGGCCTCGTCTCTCTGGGTCTCAGTTTTGTCCTCCGCAGAAGAGGGTGCTCAGGGTGGGCTGGGAGTTTCAAGTGAGTTTCGCGCACACAGGTGTGGGGGGCACACAGGTGTGGGGGGCACACGGGAGGCGCTCAGTGGCTGACAGTCGTCGGTGCTGGAGTAGCCGGTTTGTTCCTTGGACTCATGGGGGCGGCACATTCTCCCCGTCTCTCCTCTGTGCTGTTTGTCCCTCTTCCTAAATTCTCCAGGCTGGTTTTTCCATCTGGGGCTTCATTACACAGGTCTGGGGTGTGACGAGGCTCTGGCAAGGAGGCGAGGGTCTGAGAGGCCATCGGTGGGTGCAGGTGCAGGCTGGTTGGAGCCCTGCCCTGGCCCCAGCAGACACGGGCCCCACTCGCATGTGGTGGGCATGCAGGGGTGAGTGTGGTGGGCATACAGGGGTGAAGACCAGCCCCCAGCGAGCTGGGCGACTGTGGGGAGCACAGCTCATTTGACAGCCACCGAATCTCCTCCCAGAAGGCTCTGTGCTCATGCAGTGAGGTCGGGGGAGCGGCACATGGCCCTTTAAGGGACCCGGCCAGAGGGGCTGGGTGTAGACAAGCCACCTGCACTCTGAACAGCCTGAGGACGAGAGCATTTTCTCTGCCCCTGCGGCAGCCGGCCCTCCCTGAACCCCAGGGCTCTTTGTCGAATGAATGAATGAATGAATGAACAGCTGGCTGAGCTGGGTGCATGCAACTCAGAGCGGGGCACCTGTCAGGGAGGGCTTCGTGGGGGGCTGGGGGTGTGCGGCCTTGAAGGTAGTCTGGAGGGCAGGAGGGTGTATCCTGGAGACCGGGTTGGGGGGACACAGTGTGAGCAGAGGTGGAGAAGGGCGCGTGCATGTACAGCTGGGACTTGCCATCACCTATTTATGGAGCACCTGCTGCCGGCCAGGGCCTGTGTTAAGGGCTGGGGACGTGGCAGGCACCTGGCCCTGCTCCTTCTAGAAGCATCGACGGTGACAGGTGATGACAGGTGTGATGAATGCCGTGATGGCTCCAGGACCACATACCCAGATGCGGGGCATCTCCCAGGCCAGGAGGGGCCTGGCTTCCCTGAACCATGAAGAGGGGGCTGGGGAGGTATCCTGAGCGAGGCTGCAGCCCGGGTGCATGCTGGGAATGAGGCTGACAGTGTAGCCCAGGTTTCTGCTTGATTCTGAGCACTTTTATGCCGGGCACCCTTTGGTGTCTCTGTGCAGGTAGGTGCCCCCCCTTGAGCTCTGAGAACTGGGGGTACCCGGAAGGACAGGTGGGCCCCTCTCAGATCCCACCCCCCCATCTGCGTGGCTGTGTGAACCTCGCAGCTGCGGCCATCAGCGAAGACACAAGCCCGATGCGCGTCATAGACAGGAATTCCCTGGTTCTCATCTCGGTGCCTCAGGGAACCACCTGGGTGTTCACGCCACGACGGAGGGGCTGCCGCCGATCACGCCACACGCACGCGGCCGCAGTGTTCTCCCTGCTGCCTCCCCCTCCCTCGCCGGCCCCCACCCCCGGGCTGCAGCCCCCTGACCTGCGGAGCGTCTGAGAAAGGGGAGGGCGAGCTGGGTCACAAGCCGGTGCCTGCGACTGGGAGGGGAAGGGACAGGCAGCTGTGGGAGCTCACAGGCTCCACCTACTGGACTTGAGGCATCAAGGCAGGAGGGCTTCCGGGAGGAGGTGATGCCGAAGTACTGAAGGTCGAGCAGGTGTAATCCAGGTGAACAGGAGGTGGAGGCGTGCCCCAGGGAGAAAGAACGGCAGGTGCAAGGGGACGGAAGTGAGATGAACCTGGTCCTTCTAGGAAGGACGGTGGTCCGTCCGGGGTGGGAGAGGGGGACTGGTCCATGTAAGACCACACAGGCCAGGAGGCTATGCTTGGGTTTGGGCCAGCAAGCAGTGGGCAGCCACAGAGGGCTATAAAGCAGAGCCGATAAGACCATTCTGTCAGTGACAGCAGACACGGGCTCCACGGGGCAGGTAATGAAGGGGTCCTTTGGGCCCTTCTGGGCCTCAGCTTGTCCATCTATAAGATGGGCTCTCCCTTCATTCCATTTTTCCTTTGTGATAAACAAGCAGCGTTCCTTTTCTGAGAAATGACCTGGGGCTGGTCATTTGGAAAGACAAGATGCCTACTTTGATCGGTGGGAATTTTCCGCTTCTGGAAATTTCTTTTATTATTATTTAAAGCTTCTTTAATTTTGAGAGAGACAGTGTGTCCATGCAAGTGTGGGAGAAAGCAGAGAGAGAGAAAGAGAAAGAGAATCCCAAGCAGGCTCCAAGCTGTCAGTGCAGAGCCTGATGCTGGGCTCACACTCACGAACCGTGAGATCATAACCTGAGCTGAAATGAAGAGTCGGACGCTTAACTGGCTGAGCCACCTAGGTGCTCCTTACTACTTTTTTCCCCAGAAGCTCCCAGTTCCTATCCTTTAAAGGTCTTGTTGAGGGAGAGAGAGAGAAAGAAAGAGAGAGAGAGAGAGAGAGAGAGGCTCAGGGTGCTGTGGTCTGTGGAACTCTCAAAGCTAGAAGGCAGCCTGAACAAAGGAACGCAGAGCTGCCTCTTCAAATGTGAAGAAAATGGGGCTCAGAGACATTGACTGCCTGCCTGAGGTTGCACAGCGCGCCCGTAGCTGAAGCAGACCTCGGATCCTGAGCTCCCGTTCCCAGCCTGCACCTCTTTCCGCTGACCCACGCTGTCCCCATTTCGCCCGCCGAGGTTTGCAGTGAGGTCCTGGGAGGGAGGGAACCATGTACACGAAGTCTGTGCTCCAGCCTCAAGCTGATTTGGTCCTTGGTTGGTGGATGTCAGTATTTTTTTAATTTTTAAATTAAAAATAATAATAAAATTATTAAGTTTATTTTGGAGAGAGAGACCGAGAGAACGAGTTGAGGTGGGGTTGAGAGAGAGTGGGAGAGAGGAGAGAGAATCCCAAGCAGGTTCTGCACTGTCAGCGTGGAGCCCTATGTGGGGCTCGAACTCAAGGACTGTGAGATCATGACCTGAGCCGAAACCAAGAGTCGGACGCTTAGCCGACGGCGCCCCCCAGGCGCCCCCATGTGAATGTTTCAAACAGTGCAAATCTGCCTTGCGTATTGTTTATGCGTGCGCTGTCGTCACCATGGTAACAGTTCTCTGTCAAGTGCCTTTCTGTTCTGGGCCCCGTGCTGTGCATTAGGCCGTTGGGTTCTTTGGATGACCCTATGAAGGATAAGCACTATTGTCTCTAGTTTCCAGAATGAGACCAGTGAGGCACAGAGAGGTTAAATGACCAGGCCAGCCTCACACAGCAGGCACGCGGGCCAGAAGGGTTGGACTCAGGTGGTCCGGCCCAAGGCCTGGGCTCTAAGGCCACCACCCGGTGTGTCACTTACAACTATGCTCAGAGAACTTGCGCCGAGTGCCTGCTGGATGCTATGGAGGAGGGGGTGCTGGGCAGGGAGGATTATTACCCCATCTTACAGATGGGAAGACAGATGCCCGGCAGGCCAAAACTAGTAGCCTGAAGTTGCATAGGCAGTCAGTCAGTTGCCAGTGATACCGACCTGTTTGAGAAGCGCGGGCCCCGCACTTGGCTTGCACCTGCCTGGGACACGGGGACTGTTGTCACCTCCATTTTGCAGAGGAGGAAACCAGCACCCGGCAGAAAGGGGAGTGGGGACCGCAGACCTGTTGGACTCTAGAGCCCAGCTGTATAGTGGGAGCACAGGCTGGGGGGTGGCTGGCCTTGGGGGCCCCCTGCCCCCGCACTGGCCACTTGCATTTGGGGCCAGCTGGGGCCAGTGGCCGCAGCTGCCCTCCTCGATTTATAGGGACAGGGGCCTCGCGGAGCCAGCACATATGGGCCGGTGACATCATGTCTGCTGGGGCCCCTTGGGGTCCAGCCCAGCTGCAGGAGCCTGGCTGGGGGTCCCAGATCCCTTCGGGATGGGGCCAGGTGGCTTCAGCAAGGTGGGCCAGATTAGGGAGGGCGATGATGAGGGGCCGGCACGGCTTTCTCCCGAGGGCCCAGCGTAGTGCTGGATTCGGAGTGTGGCCGGCCCTGGCACTTAGCCCTAGACGGCCTCTGGGCCGGCGTTTCTCCCCCAGAAGCCGTGGGAAGGATGTGCAACGGGGCCTCGTCCCCCGCCTCAGGGCGGGGCATGCAGTAGAAGAGAGGGAGGTAATCGGTGACCATGTGCCAGGCCCTGGGCTGAGCCCTATGGTATCTGGTCATGTGCCCCAGACACAGGCCTTCTTAGTGTGCCCATTTTTCAGATGAGGAAAATAGAGGCTCCAAGAGGCAAAGGGACTTGCTTCACCCAGCTAGAAAGAGTTCAGAGTGCGGACCCGAACCCAAGCCGTGGATTCCCAGTCCAGTGCTCTTCGTGTCTCATACCAGTTGGGGTGGGATGTGGCCCTGGCCAGGGAGGTGGAGGCAGGGCAGAGTGGGGAGGACTGAGGGGTGGGTGGTGGACACAGCCTCAGTCCTGGCAGGCTTCCTGGGGGAGGTGGCTGTTCAAGTTGGGTCTGGAGGTCTTCCCAGCGGGGCTGGGATTGGGTGGGGTCTCACCCGTGCCCCTCCCTCCTGCAGGCATCGCCTCCTGCCGTCAGGCTCCCTGCGTCTGGCCCAGGCCCAGGTCGGTGACAGCGGCCTCTACAGATGCGTAGCCACCAACCCCGCTGGGTCTGCTTCTCAGCACTACATCCTCCAGGTGCAAGGTAGGGCCCGGGGTTGCTGGCTGGGCCTCGCCCACGGCCCCGCCCTCCCCTCCCTCTTTCTCAGGCCTTCTCAGTGCCTTTCCCTGTCTGTAGGCTGGGCCTTGTCACCTCTCCATGGGGGCCTCCGGTGCTTCCTCCCCTCCCCTCTGCGTCCTGCTTTCCTCTAGCCCTGTACCCTCTCTTCCTTCCCCTGTACCCTTGGTTGGGGCCCCCTGAGAACAGAGGGCAGGGCCCAGGGCAGGCCTCGCGCGGTGGGGACCTAAGGGTCAGCAGGGGGACCCATGAAGGGGTTCTGGTTCCCGGCTTGGCTGGGCCCCAGGAGCGGACATTTCCCTGGGTGTCCAGGTCCCATCCACAGAGGTCAGCGTGGTGTCACTCCCCCGAAGAGACAGGGAGCTTCTCAGCCCCAAAGCCCCAGGGAATTACCAAAGACAGCAGCCGACCGACTGTGGCCTGTGGGCTACGCCTGACCCGTTTCCGGTTTTCATGTGGCCCACCGGTGAAGAACGTAGCCACGTTCTTAAAAAAGTTGTTTATGCTTATTTATTTTTGAGAGAGAGACAGAGCATGAGCGGGGGAGGGTCAGAGAGAGAGGGAGACACAGAATCCGAAGCAGCTCCAGGCTCCGAGCTGTCAGCATGGAGCCCGACGCGGGGCTCGAACCCATGAACCGTGAGATCATGACCTGAGCTGAAGTCGGACGCTTCACTGACTGAGCCACCCAGGCGCCCCCACCCGCGTTTTTAAATGATTGGAGAAAAAACCCAAATAACATTCTGTGATGTGTGAAAATTACTTGAGATTCAGATTTCAGTGTCCATAAAACCAGCGTTCTGGGAAGCTGGGACGCATTTACGTGTGGCCTGTGGCTTCTCACACCGTGGTGGCGAGTTGAGTAGTTGAGAGAGGGGCCGTCTGGCCCGCAAAGCCTGAAATACTCTCTTGCCCTTTATGGGAAGAGACCCTGATCTCAGCTAGCCCCCATTTTACAGGTGGATAGGCTGAGGCTCAGAGAGGGAAGGGGCTCAAAGGTTTGCTGTGAGTTTGTGTGAGCATATGAGAGATATGGCGGAAGTGGGGGGGCTGGGTGATGAGCAGGGCCCCAGAGGTAGGAGAACTGGATTTGAGTCCTGATGCTACTACCACGGACTGGCTGTGTGACCTTGGCCAGCCGCATGGCCACTCTGAGCCTTGGTTTCCTCCTCTGTAAGTTGGGGGCCACAGCGATGGCCATCCCATAGCTGTCAGAAGGGAAATCAGCACAGGGAAATCTGCTATTGTTTTCAGCAGGTGTGGGGGTGGGGAGGGCATGTTCACCCTCGTGCTCCTGGAGGGGTGAGGGGCCCAGGGGAGCCACCTGGATTCCGGTCAGAGACACCCTGGGTCACATAGGCTCCGGCTCCTATTAACTGAGGGGGTGGGTGACTCTGGTCAATCACGGAACCCTTCTGAGCCTCAGTTTCTTCATCTGCAAAATGGGCATGGTTTCACCTGCCTATAAGGAAGGACAGAGGAGATGTAGATGTGAAAGAAATAAATACCACCATCTCCCCCAGCCCAGGGAAAGGAGGGGCCACGGGTAGGGGGATGGCGGGGAGGGTGGGTGAGGTGAGGCTGAGGAGAAAGGAGCTGAGCGTCGAGGAGCGATTCTGTGATGAGAGGCCAGATTCTATTCACGTCTGGGGGGACCGCATGGGGTGTCCTGCTGTCTTTTCCCCACTAAATGAGGAATGGTCAGCCCTAGGCTGCCCCCTACGGTGATTTCTGCTGCTTGGTGATGTCGGGACGTAAGGGCGGGTGGGCTCTCTCCGTGGGTCTGGGCTCTGCGACCCCCCCCACCCGGGGGTGCCAGGTACTGGACTCCCCTCCCTGGGGCTCTTCAGTGCCCCCGCAGGTGCAGCCGGGCCCGCGGGTCCTGAAGGTGCTGGCGGGAGAGATTCTGGACCTGAACTGCGTGGCCGAGGGCAGCCCGGAGCCCCGGCTGAGCTGGTCCAAGGACGGGGTGGCCCTGGGCGGCGGGACCCCCGAAGGCTCCGTCCACTTCTCGGCCGTCCAGACCTCTGACGCCGGGCTGTACCGCTGTGAGGCTTCCAGCAGCGCCGGCGTGGACGCCTGGGAGCTGGAGCTCAGGGTGCTGGGTGAGTCTCCCCTGAACCCCGGGACTCACTGCTCCCCGCCCCGCCCCCACCCGCCCCGACAGCAGCCTGCGCTTCTGAGATTCTTTTTTTTTTTTTAATGTTTATTTATTTTTGAAGAGAGAGACAGCATGTGAGCAGGGGAGGGGCAGAGAGAGAGGGAGACACAGAATCTGAAGCAGCTCTAGGCTCCGAGCTGTCCGCACAGAGCCCCATGCGGGGCCCGAACCCATGAGCCACGAGATCATGACCTGAGCTGCAGTGGGGCACTTAACTGAGCCCCCCGGGCACCCCTGGGCCTCTGAGATTCTTAACCCCTTCCTTCCTCCCGGCCTCCGCCCCTGAGGCGGTGGGACTGTCCAGGGCGAGGGAGCCTTAGGTCAGCCCTGCAGGTTCCGTCTGCTGTGGGGTGGCTAGAAGTTTCCATGGGATTGTGATCAAAGAGCAGGGGCCTGGGCGGAGGCTCAGTTCCTTCCCCCTTCTGGCTGGACGACTGTAGGCCAGTCGTTCACACTGTCTGACCCTCAGTTTTGTCCCCTATGAAATGGGCCCAATAACAGCGTGTGTGAAGCGTCCAGGGGCACGGAGAGGTCTGGATCCGCGGTGCCGCAGTTTTCACTATGACGAATGTAAAATAATCCCGCAAAGCCGCTGCCGGCGGAGGGGGGGCGGGGTGCAGGACGACACCAAGCTCCGCCTCCCAGGCCCGTGGCATCTCGCATGGCCCTGGTGGCCTCTCGGCGGGCCAGCCTGTGGGAGGCGGGGCTGGTGCCTGGCCAGGCTCTGGGTGGGACACCCTCTCCGCGGGCCCGGGTGTAAGCGTGGCCACACTGCCTCTCCCCAGAGCCGCCGCACTGGGAGCCCGACGAGAGCAGCGGCCTGCTGGAGAGAGTGGCGGGGGACAATGCCAGCCTGCCCTGTCCTGCCAGAGGTGACGCCGGGCCCCGGGGTGGGTTGGACTGGGAAGGAGCCCGCTTACATCTCAGCGCCCCAGGTCACGCACTGTGGGCGATGCCCGTGGGTTATGGAGGGTTGGGGGGGTCCTCTCTCCTTACCAGGCCACGCCAGGCCACGCCACGCCAACCTGTAGGATGCCTAGTACCTTTAGCTCTTTTTTATTATGGATAATCTAGGCCCAGAGGGATTAAGCTACTTGTTGGAGGCCACGCAGCCTGGAGGTGACCCCCAAAGGCTTGTGTGGGTGGACCCCAGCCCCGAGCACCCCTTAAGCCCCAGCCCCTCCGCCTGGGGATGCAGCAGCTGGGCCGAGGACAGCGCCAGGGTCCTAGGATTGGGGCTCGGTGGCCCCCCGCCGCTCTTCAAGCCCGCCCCAGACTTTCTAGCAGAGGATGGATTCATGGGGCTCTGGGCAGACTCGCCCTCGGGGGCAGCGGCGCGTGTGGGGCCAGGATAGCCCCCTCTGTGGTCCCTGCCCAGTGCTGACCCCTCTTTGGCCCTTCCAGGCCAGGTTCCTTCTTGAGGCTCTTTCTGAGCCTCGGTTTCCTCATCTGTACAGTGGGTTCAACCAGGCCCTCCATGCAGGGCTGCTGGGAGGGCTCCGAGGGACAGACAGCGGGAGTGTTGGGCCCCAGCTCCGTGCCTGGCACCTGGTAGGGGCCCAGGGAGATGCATCGAACGAAGGAGACTCCCCTTCTGTCAAACCTCCCCCTGCCACACCCGGCGGACCTCGCTGCCGCCCCAGCCACTGCTTTTGGGCTCCTGTCTGGCCGGCGAGAGGGCGTGCTGTCTGCCCCGTGCGTGGACGCTCTCGAGAAGGGTGGGTGCCTGGGTCTCAGAAGCAGGTCAGAGACTGGAGCCAGGGAATTCTCTGGAACTGGCCTGAGGGAGGGCCAGGTAGGAGGCAGGTGCTGGCTGAGAGTTCTGGGGGCCCGAGGGGGGGGGGTCTGAGGGGCCGCCACCCCGCCCTCCGCCAGGGCGCCACCTTGTGCCCGTCTCTGGTAACAGCAAGCAGCCGTCAGGCAGTCTTGGGGGTGGAGGGTGGGGACCCCTGGTCAGCCAGGGGCTCGCCCTCCGCCCCAGACTTCAGCCGAATCAGCATAACCCAGGCCCCCTCCGATGGCCACGCCTCAGCCTGGCAGCCCGCACCTGCCCCCAGGCCGCCCTTGGCCTTCTCCCCTTCAAGCAGGTGTTCGGTGCCAGGCAGTGCCGGGCGCGGGCATTCGCCAGCCGCGTGGCCTTGGCGTGGGAGGGCCAAAGGGGAAAGCGCCGAGCCCCCGGCCCGGACCGCGGTGCCTGCGGTGGGTGACAGCGCCCGCCCCCTCCTTGTGGGCGCGACCGAAGGGCCACTGACTTGCTGTCGTGGCCCCTGTGAACTGGGCGCGGGGAGGTGACGTGAGTGATTTTCAGCAACGGCTCGGAGTCTGGAATCTTCCCTGGGCGGAGCTACGGGGCAGTTCTGTGGTTAGAGCTCTTCCAGGGCTTAGACGTTTGCACTAAAAAACTGATCCAGGTTCAAAACTCAGGGTCCCTCCAGGGGTGCAGCTCTGAGGCCCCTGGTGAGGTGGGGTGGGGGGGCACGTGTACTGGGGGAGTGTGTGAGGGGGTGAGTGTGAGGATGTGTGTGTGAGGCTGTGTTTGTGTGAAGGTGTGTGTGTGAGAGGGTGTGAGGGGGTGTGTGTGTGAGGAGGTGTGCATGTGGGGGTGTGAGTGTGAGGGGGTGAATGTGTGAGGGTGTATGTGTGAGGGTGTGTGTGAGGTTGTGTGTGATGGTGTGGGGGGGGGGTGAGGTTGTGTGTGAGGCTGTGTGTGTGAGGGGTGTGGAGTGTGTGAGGGGTGTGTGTGAGGGGTGTGTGTGTGTGTGAGGGTGTGTGTGTGTGAGGGTGTGTGAGGGTGTGAGTGTAAGATGGTGTGTATGAGGGTGTGAGTGTGTGAGAGGGTGTGAGGGGGTGAATGTATGAGGGGGTGTGTGTATGTGAGGGGTGTGTGTGAGGTTGTGTGTGACGGTGTGTGTGTGAGTGGTTTTGTGTGTGAGGGTGTATGTGTGTGGGGGGTGAGTGTGTGTGAGGATGTGTGTGTGTGTGAGGGGGGTGTGAGTGAGGGTGTGTGGGGGGGGTGAAAGGATGAGTGCACATGCATGTGGTTTGTATGTGTGTGGCACAGTGTTTACGTGTGTGGCACAGGGGACACGGCCGTGTGGGCGCAGAGGACACGGATGTGGGGTGCGGGGGACAGGGACGCAGTGGGCGCAGGGGACACGGGGGGTGTAGGGGACAGGGATGCAGTGGGCACAGGGGACACGGGATGCAGGGGACAGGGACGCAGTGGCCGCAGGGGACGTGGATGTGGGGCGCAGGGGCCGGGCCCTCCCGGGGCTCCGGGCGGTCCCAGCACGTGGGGCAGAGCGGTCAGTGTGGGCGGGGTGGCCCGGCTCCCCTCAGAGAGAGGACACCCAGGATGCCCTGGGCGCGCCACGTCCTGACTGCCACCCGCATGTCCACCCGAATGGGGTGGCCGTCCCCGTGCCCCCCGTGGCTGAGGACAGAGGAGCGGGCGAGGCGGGAGAGTCCGCGTCCACCCGAGCCCCAGCTGGAAGGTGGCACAGGGCGCGTGGGTGTGGCGTGTGCCCACGTGCATTAGCCCACGTCGTGGTCCCGATGGCTAATGTCAGCAGCGCGATAGGGGGACAGAGGTGCGAGGTGCCATCCTGTGAGGTCGGGGAGCCCCCCCAGGAATGCCCCCCACCTACGTGTGGCTGGAGAAGGACGGAAGGTGGCCAAGGCCCCAACAGACAGAGGGCTTGTCCCGAGGTCGTAGAGCAGGTCAGCAGGGCTGGGGCTCGCGGGACCCCAGGACCCCAGGGCGCCCCCGCCTCAGGGGCCCGTGTGGTGCTCAGAGGCTAGGTCGTTCCCACAATGGCCACCTGAGAACCTCCCGTGTGGCCGATGGCACCCGAGGGTGCTGGCACAGCAGGCTAGCTCGTTCGTTGAGCGCCCCCTAGGGGCCGGCACCGGGCTCGCCGCTGGGAGCGTTGCACGGGGTTCATGCTGAGCCCTTGGCCCTTGTTTGGGGGAGACCTGCAGCCCTGGGTGGGAGGCGGCGGGCGTGGTCCCCGAGGGGGCTGCTCCTGCCAGCCCAGGGGGCGACACGGTGCTGCCCCCACCCCCAACGGGAGGGCCGGCGACATTTGCACAAGCGGGGACGCGGAGATGGCAGACGTCAGGGTGTTGGTGCTGATGACACCGTGCGCCCCACCAGGGGTGCCCCAGCCGCAGGTCACGTGGCGGAAGGGCCCGTCCTCAGAGCCCCTGCGAGGCCGGCCAGGCCTGGAGGTGCTGGCTGAAGGCTCCCTGCTTCTGGCGTCCGTGTCCCCCACCGACAGCGGAGACTACGAGTGCCAGGCCACCAATGAGGCGGGCTCTGCGTCCAGGAGGGCCAAGCTGGTGGTCTATGGTAAGCAGGGGGCCCCGAGCGGGGGTGGCTCAGGCTCACTCCCCGCAACGGCACCCCTTCCCCAGAGAGACCCCCCCATGGAGACAGTGTAAGGGGAAGGACCTGGAACTCCCTAAATGGTTTTTAAAATGGTTTGTAGGTGAATTCGGTTTAAAATGAGCAGCGATGGCCGTGGAGAGTCCCAAAGCCCACGTCAGGGTTAAAGCCACTACACCTGACCCGAGGGTCATACCCTTCCCGGCCGCAGGGAGAGCCCCCTGTCCCCCGCCCCCTTCCGTGGCGCTGTGGGCAGAGGGAGGGCCCTTTCTGTCAACACGGGCACCATGAGGAGCAGGGGACGCTGTCACCACTCCCGATGGGCCACCTGCCACCTCCCCGTGACCCGCCGCCCCGGCTCCGCATGTAACATCTCACGTGGGAGGTTCGTTAGGAAGAGACACCCACGCCCCGTCTTCAGAGGTTATGACGTGGGCCCTCCCAGGGGACCATGACCATGATAACAGGTGGTAAGCAGAACCGGGTGGACATAGGGGCTCCAACATCTTGCAAAGCTGAATGTCGGACAGAGCGTCACAGTGCCCTGGCACGGCTGGGGTGTGCGGGTCCCCGGGCAGGCTGCCCTGGCATTCCCAGGTCCACACGGGGCTCCCGGTGGCCAGATCGGGGACAGGACCGGGCAGCCAGGGACCCCAGAATCTGGGGAAGGGCAGGAGTTGGGGAATGCCCGTCCAGGCCAGGAAGAGTGGCCCACATGGGGTCTGGGTAACTGTGGCTGTCGGGACGGTTCCTCTGCTTCTCTTTGCTCCCAAGTGCCCCCTAGCATCCGGGAGGACGGGCACAGGGCCAATGTGTCAGGCATGGCCGGGCAGGCCCTGACTTTGGAGTGTGACGTGAATGGCTTTCCAGCCCCTGAGATCGTGTGGCTCAAGGATGGGCAGCCGGTGGGTGTCCTCTGGGGTGGCTGGGCTGCGTGGGATTTGGATAGGGACCTTCTGGATGGGTTCCTGCATGTGCCAGGTGTGGCAGGGAGATGTGACAGGTGTTCTGGGGAACGCATGGGGCGGTGGGGGAAGCCTGGGGGGCTGCATGGTGGAGGGGGCATGGCACTCTTTGGGGAATAAGAAGCCCAGTTCCGGTCAGCAGCCAGCTCCCTGGGCCTCAGTCTCTTGTCGCCGATGTTGGGGGTGGCCAGGCCCCTCACCAGCTCCCTCCGGCCTCTTCTGCCCAGATTCCTGAGGCGGGTGGTCACCGCCTGCTGGACAAGCCCGGGGCCCTCCACTTCCCCAGGATCCAGGAGGCTGACTCGGGCCTCTACTCCTGCCGAGCAGAGAACCAGGCGGGGACTGCCCAGAAGGACTTCGATCTGCTCGTGCTCAGTGAGTGAGGCTGGGGAAGAGGGGACTCTGCCTGCTGAGAGTTGGGGGGGCATAGAGGGGCCCGTGACAGACCCCGTCCCTGTCCTCACAGAGCCATCAGGGCAGACATTAGATGGTCACATGATTGCCCACGTAATTAGTGCTGTGTTACGTGCTGCAAAAAGTAGCGTCGGCTGCGGAGAAGGCACAAAGCAGGGCCCTGATCAGCCAGGGAGCCTTGAGTCACGGATGGAAGGGGAGGGAAGGGTGCACCCGCGGACCCGCACAGACAAAGGCCTGCCACAGGGCCTTTGCCTGTGCGGGATTTGAGGACATTCTGCCCCTCTGCCCCCGCCCCCCACCCCAGTCCCTCCTTCCGTGGCGGGAGCCGGGGCCGCCCAGGACGTGCTGAGCCTGGCTGGTGCAGACGTTGAGCTGGAGTGCCGGACCTCAGGGGTCCCCACGCCCCAGGTGGAATGGACCAAGGACGGGCAGTGAGTGGTCTTCCTGGCATATGGGGCTTGGCATCCGGGGGCTTCGGGGAGGCGCTCAGTGGCCATTGCACGTGCCACCATCCAGGGGCCGCACGGAGGGCAGCGTGGGACACCTCCCACCCCAGCCTGGAATTACCCAGGGGACCCTCTTCTCTCCCCCTGCCCCCCGGCAGGGTTTTCTTATGACACAGACAGTCTTGCTTTTTGCTTTAAACTTTTTTTTTTAGGTAAAATTCACAAAATCTAAAATCAACCATTCTGAAGGGCTTGCTTCTAGTGGTTTGTAGTACACGCACCGTGATGTACACTGTCACCTGTGTCTAGTTCTGGAACATTTCATTACCCCAAGAGGAGACTCTGTGCCCACCAGCCCCTGCCCTCTCCCCTCCCCCGGCCCCTGGTGACCACTAATCTGCTTTCTGTCTATAGATTTACATATAGTTCATGTACATCCCATGCAGTCACACAATACGGGGCCTTTTGTGTCTGACACGTCTAACGTAGCGCTCAGTTCGCAGGCTTCACCTGTGCCGTAGCAGGTGTCCATACAGGACACCTCTCAGATATTAGGGGTTCGGTCCCAGAGCATCACGATGAGGCAGATATCACAATAAAGCAAATCAAACGAATTGTTTGGTTTCCCAGTGCCCAGAAAAGTTATGTTTGTACTATCGTCTGTTGAATGTGCAATAAATAGCATTATGTCTAAAAAACAACATACGTACTTTAAATAAAAAGTAGTTTAAATAATAGTTTCTTTCAGTGCGCCTGGGTGGCTCAGTGGGGTGAGCGTCCAGCTTCAGCTCAGGTCACGATCTCACAGTTCGTGGGCTTGAGCCCCGTGCCAGGCTCTGTGCTGTCAGTACAGAGCCCACTGTCCCCCCTCCCTATCTCTCCCTGGCTCATGCTTTCTCTCAAAAATAAGTAAACGTTAAAAAAAGTAAATTGCTAAAAAATGCTAACCATCATCTGAGCTCTCAGAGAGTTGTACTCCTGTGTAACAAACATATTGTACATCACAGCATAACAAATATAAGGAAAAACTTTGAAATTTTGTGAAAAGGGGGCGCCTGGGCGGCTCAGTAGGTTAAGTGTCCAACTTTGGCTCAGGTCATGATCTCACGGTTTGTGGGTTCAAGCCCCGTGTCGGGCTCTGCGCTGACATCTCAGAGCCTGGAGCCTGCTTCCGATTCTGTGTCCCCCTCTCTCTCTCTCTGCCCCTCCCCTGCTCGTGCTCTGTCTCTCTCTCTCAGAAATAAACATAAAAATTTTTTTCTGAAATATCATGAGAATGACCATAACTATGACACAGAGACACAAAGTGACCAAACACCATTGGGAGAATGGCACCGACTGACTTGCTCGATGCACAGCTGCCCCAGACCCTCAGTTTGTCAGAAACACTGTATCCGCCTGCCCTTGACTGCTTGTAGTGACTAACCGTCGTCCATGGCAGGGATCAGCCACCATTTGTGCCCATTCCCCGGCGCGTGGGCACCGTTCAGCGATTGTGAACCTCCCAGACTTGCTTTTCACAAGTGGCAAGCTCCTCTCTCTGCAGCCGGGCCCTGCTTACTGCTGGCCTTCTCTTGACCGTCCCTCCAGGCCTGTCCCTCTGGGGGACCCTCGTGTCCAGCTGCAGGAGGATGGCCAGGTTCTCAGAATCACCAGCAATCACCTGGGGGATGAGGGGCGGTACCAGTGTGTGGCCTTCAGCCCCGCCGGCCAGCAGGCAAAGGTCTTCCAGCTCAGGATGCATGGTGAGCCCGGCCTCCGCCACGGGCTGCCCGCTTCCAGGAGGGGGGTCCTAGGGGAGCAGCCCCGGTCCCGTAAAACCTGGGGAGAGGGACCAAGAAGCTGGCCCGGTGTCCCCGTCCCCAGCGCTGCCAGCTGGATTCCTGATCCTGGTCACGGTGATCATTTCTGCACCTGTTTCTCTAAATCGACTCCCTTTACTTTATCTGGAAACGCGCTCGTTTAAAGGGATGTTTACTCTCTCGAGTGTAAGTGGGAAGCCAGGGCCACTTGGCCTTCGGGGAGGAAGCTGTGAAAACAGATCCGGCAAAAGAGCGCTGATGTAGAAAGTACCAGAAGGGTTAAGTACACAGTCCACGAAACGGCGCCCTGCCCTCTGTCGTAATCGGGATGGAGCTGTTGGAGGGACAGAGCTGTTCCGTTCTCAGATGGCAGTGCTGTTTCACGCTGTGCCCACGTGCCCCCAGGATCCCCGGGGGCCGCTAGTGGCGAACCCCTGATTTAGGTCAGACCCTCATTTTGTGGACGGGGAGACTGAGACCCAGAGAGGGGAAGTGAGCTGTGCCGGGCCACGCACTGAGTTAGAGGCAGGGTTAGAGATGACCAGGTCCCACATCAGCATGTCCCAAGAGGCCCCTCCCGTCTGTCCCCAGATGTCCCCATCTGTCCCCGTCCCCCACGCACACCACACCCTGCAGGGGCCAGTGACATCGGGGGCGGGGGCGGGGGGACCCCGTCCGCCCTGAGCAGGCTCTTGTGACCAGCATCGCCTGCCATCCTCAGCACCTCCAACCATCTGGGGCTCCAACGAGACGAGTGAGGTGGCTGTCGTGGAGGGCCACCCGGTGCGGATCCTGTGCGAGGCCCGAGGAGTGCCCTCTCCCACCATCACCTGGTTCAAGGACGGGGCCCCTCTCGCGCTCAATGCCGAGGCTGTCTACACCAGGGGCGGCCGGCAGCTGCAGCTGGCCAGGGCCCGGGGCGTGGACGCAGGCACTTACACCTGCAAGGCCAGCAACGCCGTGGGGGTCACGGACAAGACCACCAGGCTGGAGGTTTATGGTGAGCGCTGCGCAGTGGGGGAGGGGGGCGCTCTGGGCCCAGGCGGTCCTGGCTTCAAAAGTCGCTGAGGAGAGTGGCCAGAAGCGCAGGGTCTTGGGGCTAAAGAGTTACGGGCCATCTCAGCTTGAACAACTTCCCTCACTTGGACAGGCCAGGATGTCAAGGTCTGGGGTGGAAGGGCCAGGCAGAGCCCAGGAGAAAAGCCAGGCTTCTCTTAGGGGTGCGGGGGAAGCACTTTTCACTGCTTTTCAGTGAATTATGAGCTGCTCTGCGTTAATCACACCATGAGCCAGGGCTCCCGGGGCTTTTCATAGCTTTGGCTCATTTAATCAGGGTCAGGGGCCTGGACCCTTGTCGCCCTGGGTCCCACTTACTGAGGAGAGCTGTGTTCTCTGGGGGTGAGAGACTGGCCAAGGGCCACTTGCTAGGAGGGGATGGGACCCGGTTCATGGTGGGAGGGGGGGTGGTTCTGGCTGTGAGTCTTGTGCTGTTTACCTGCGTGTAGACCCACCTTGAGTGGCCCTGAGGATGCATGGGGAAGGGGGGAGACACTAAGTGACTGTGGGCAGGGATGGAGTCTGAGCAGGTGAAGTTTGAGACCCAGAGTGCAGGCCAGTGGGGTTGCCCTGGCCCCCAGAGATGCAGGGGATGCGGGGGGGGCGGGGCTCAGGTGCCAGGCTGGGGTGGGGTCCACGAGCATTCTCTGAGTCCCCAGCTGCCAGCTCGAAGATCTCATTGGGGGATCAGAGGACCTTCTGGAAATGAAATGGAAAATGTGTGCATCAAATTTCCAAAGGGGCTTGTGACCCAAATAAGGTTGAGAAGCTCTTCCCAGGCAGTTGCCACCCCAGGTCCCCTGGCGAGGGCTCCGTGGTCTCAGGAACTTGGGGGGCCCTCCTCAGGGGGAGGAGAGAAGTCCCCCTGTTCCTCAGACCAGGGAAGGGACTTGAAAGCAGTGGTTCTGGTTTGGGGCCCTGGGGAGCTGGTCACTTAGAAATCAGCAGGTACGGAGACAGAGACAAGCTATTTTTCTGCTCACAGTGACCCCGCAGGGGTGGCAGGGACGGCTGGAGGGAAGATGCAAGCGGTGGGGGGGAGGGGGGGCAGGGGCGAGGAGAGGCGGCCAAGGGGCAGCGGAGGGAGAGAATGCTTCCAGCCAGAGGTCCAGGAAGGCTTCCTGAAGGAAGTGACACCTGAGAAGGGGGTTTCAGCTAGCAGAGGTGACGGAGGAGGCTGTTCACACAGGGTGGGGTCAGCGAGGGGCTTGAGCTGGCCCGCCGGGCAGCGCGCAGACTGGCATCCCCCCCCACCCTGGTCCCTGAGCCGCCCCATCTTTCTTCCCCAGTCCCTCCCACCATCGAGGGCGCTGGAGGCGGACCTCGTGTGGTGAAGGCCTTGGCCGGGAGGCCCTTGGCGCTGGAGTGTGTGGCCAGAGGCCACCCGCCCCCCACCCTCTCCTGGCACCACGAGGGGCTGCCTGTGGCCGAGAGCAACGAGACGTGGCTGGAGGCGGGAGGCGGCGTGCTGAGCCTGGAGGGCGTGGGGGAGGCGTCCGGAGGCCTGTACAGTTGCGTGGCCAGCAGCCCCGCCGGGGAGGCCGTGCTGCAGTACTCCGTGGAAGTGCAGGGTGAGCCCCGGTCTGCCCCCCGGGCACGGGCCCCGCCTCCTACCCCCACTGCGCGTGGGCCCCCAGCCCGGTCACTTGGGACAGGACACCACTCTGCCCCCCCCCACCCCCCGGTGCTCCTGGTCAATGGGCTGGACGTGTATCAAGGACTCCCTGAAGCCCAAAGCTGGGCTGTGGGCTCTGGGTCAGCCGGGGCCGGGCCCTTTGTCTGTCTCTTGCTTCCGGCTGACATTTCTCGGGCATCTGCTCCGGGCGGGGGGTGGTGCTGGAGATGAAGCAGGAAGCAAGGCGGACGAGAGTCCTGAGCTGTCCCTCTGGTGGGAGGACAGATGTTTAATACACAGGCCAAGCCTGTGGGGAGGCCGGGGGGGACTACCTGCTCTGTCTTGGGTGGTCCTGGAAGGCTTCCTGGAGGAGGAACCATTTGCAGGGGGGCTTCAGAGGGTGAGGCGAGGTTCGGGTCTTGCTCTCGAGGTGCTGGGGACTCGGGTTCGCTCAGCTCCAAGCACCCAATGGCAGGCTCCGCCCACAGTTCCCCCACAGCTCCTGGTGGCCGAAGGCTTGGGCCAGGTGACCGCCCTCACGGGACAGCCGCTGGAACTCCCCTGCCGGGCCTCAGGCTCCCCGGCGCCCACCCTCCAGTGCGTACGGGGTGGTGGAGACGGGCACGGGGCTGGGGCCAGGCAGCGACGCATGCTCGGGGGTCCCCGGGATGGGAGACCCTGCCCCTCCCCTGGAGGAGGGAGGAGGCCGCGGGGCCAGGGAGGTCCTGCCCTGCCTGACTCGCCTGGCCTCGGGCTGACCTGTCCCCGCCCTCCTCAGGTGGCTGCAGAACGGCCGCCCGGCCGAGGAGCTGGCTGGGGCGCAGGTGGCCTCAGGGGGGACCTCGCTGCACATCAAGCATGTGGAGCTGGGCCACGCGGGCCTCTTTGCTTGCCAGGCCACCAACGAGGCGGGCACTGCTGGGGCTGAGGTGGAGTTGTCCGTGCACGGTGAGGGGCGTGGGCAGCGTGGGATGGCGGGGGCGGGGGGCGGGGGGGAGGCGGTCATGGCCATCCGTGCCTGTGTAGGGCTGCTGGACCAGGGGCTGGTCTTTCCTGGGCCGCGCTCCTGGGCTGGACTTTCCAGCTCCCCGAAGTCACGCGGGTGTGAGAGGCTGGCCCTGGCTGCTTCCACGCGTGTCACGTGTCCAGTCCGCAGGCCCCTCTCTTGCCCCCTCCCAGCCCCGCCCCCTCTTCACTCACTCTCTTCACGCTGAGCCCGCTGAACTTCGTTCCGTTCTTTGTATACATCCGCCCTCTCGCCTCCAAGCCTGCAAATTGGGTTTCCTCTGCCCGGAACAGTCTCCCTCTTCCTCTTGGCCTGCCTCGCTGCTCCCTGTCTCTCAGTCCTGTCCTGAAATGCCCCCACCTTCCTCCGGGAAGCCCTCCTGGATTCCGCCGCGGCTCCGATCTGCACCGCCCAGCCTGTCGTGGCCCTAGCCTGCCACCCACTGTATTAAAATTGCTTGTTTGGCTGTCCAGCTCCGCTGCCCGGGTCCGGGAGCTCTGGCAGGGCAGCGCGGTTAGCCAGTGTCCTCTGCCAAATCCCCGGGCCTTGTACAGAATAGATGCTCAACGCACGTCTGGACGGGTGGGCGGATGGTGGATGCGTGGGTGCATGGATGGGAGGGTTTTAAAGGGAAAGACCTGCTTTACTGACTCCTGGTCTAGTGCTCTCCCCCTAAGCCAATCATCTCTTGGGTTGAGTGGGGGGAGCCCTGTAAGGACACTCCCTACTCCCCAGGCATCAGGGGGTAGCTGGGTACTCACTGCACCCCTCCTGGCTCTGACCTCTGACCTGGACCCTCCCTGCCTCTCCCCCTGCCCAGAGCTCCCACTGGTGGCCATCGTCGGGGGCGACAATATCACGGTGTCTTTCCTGCAGCCTGTGACCCTCCAGTGTGTGGGGACTGGGGTGCCCACCCCAAGTCTCCACTGGTGGAAGGATGGGGTGGCCCTGGCAGCCTTGGGGGGGGAGCTGCAGGTACGTTCAGGGGCCCCAGCGCTGGTGCGGCAGCTGGGCGCAGGGGGAGGGGCCACTTTCAGGGATCCCAGTGACCCTGTGTGGGTCCCTGGCAGCCTGGGGACGGGATGAGTACTGGGTGGTGGGGAGGGAAGTCAGAGGAACACAGTCGGGCGGGGTGGGGAGGGGAGCATCCCTGGAATCTGAACGCATAGCTTAGGATTCCACCCCCAGAGCCAAACCGCCCCCTTGACTCCCTTCTCCTGCCCCTGGGGTCTGCAGCGACCCGGCCACTTACTGTGTCCCAGCATCCCTCTTACCACCCAAATCAGGCTCCGTGTTCCCCACGGCAACACGTGGCCATCGCTCCTCCCCCTCCAGATCGAGAAGGTAGACCTGAGGGATGAAGGCGTCTACACTTGTACTGCCACCAACGTGGCTGGGGAGAGCAAAAAGGACGTGGTCCTCAAGGTTTTGGGTGAGGACCGGGGCACTGGATGGTGGGGTGACCCCTGGGGGCCCTTGGGGCTGCCCTGGGTGGACAGAGGGAAGGGGATTTTAAAAACATAGCATGTCCTGGGGCGCCTGGGTGGCTCGGCCGCTTGAGCCTTGGACTTTGGCTCAGGTCATGATCTCACAATCTGTGGGTTCGAGCCCCGCGTCGGGCTCTGTGCTGACGGCTCAGAGCCTGGAGCCTGCTTCAGATTCCGTGTCTCCGTCTCTCTCTGACCCTCCCCTGCTCACATGCTGTCTCTCTCTCTCTCTTCCTCTCTCTCCCTCAAAATAAAGAAAAAAGAATTTAAACATAGTGTGTTCTCACCTGCATGCATGTTTACTTTTGCTTGTCTTATTCATCTTTGGGTCCGTTTCTATCCTTGTGTGCGTGCGTAAAACCCGGCACCTGACACTTTTCCCGGCACCTGCCGCTAACGTTCCGCTTCTCCCCTGCGCCGGCTCACGGCTGTTCCTGCGGAGCTCGGCGCTGCGGTCTTTCCTGTTGTGGGAAGATTGCAGCCTGATGCCTTTGTCTTCATGCCGGTTCAGGATGGGGCTTCCTCGGTCCCAGGAGGCTTTGGGGGACGCTGGGGAGGCAGATCAGGGATGGCCGAGACGAGCCCAGAGCCCACATCCACCAAGACAGGGCTCTGCTGGTCTCCTCCAGTGCCCCCCAACATCGAGCCGGGCCTGCTGAACAAGGCAGTGCTGGAAAACGCCTCAGTCACCTTGGAGTGTCTGGCCTCGGGTGTGCCCCCTCCCGGTAAGACCCCTCCCCTTGGCCGACGGCCGTCTCCAGCCACCGCCCTGGTCCCCATCTAAGGAGGCCGCAGGGCCCCAGGCACCACCTGGGCTGTGGACACGACAGGGAGGGATCCGTAGGACCCTCCCCTATTCCTCGAATGCTCCTCTCTTCTCACTGTGTCAGTCCGTGCCAGGGCCCAGTGCCTTTGCACTGGTGTCTGAAGCAAATGTGCAGGGCTTCTGTTCAGAGCTCGCAACTTCACGGGGCTGCCCCGGGGCGGGGGGGCAAGGACCGGGACCTCTGAGTCGCAGTCTGTCTGGGACTCTTGTCTAGAGCTTGGGGCTAGGCGTGAGCGTTTTGCCGACGGGATGGGCTCTGGCGGGGTCTAAGCAAGCCAAGGGTACAGGTGGTCCGTGCTTGTGAGGCTGTGGATGCAGAGCGCGCCATGTTTTCCTCTAACGGTCTCCCCTCGTGAGTGGTCTCCTTGCAGGGAGAGGAGGTGAGGGCGGCTGGGCTGGCTTGGACTCTCCTTGCCCCAGGCTGCCCCAGCCTCCAGCCCATGGACCTTCCCCCCTGCCTTCTGTCCCGTCTCAGACAGCACTGCCCCGTTCCAGCCCCAGCCTCCTTCCTGGAGAACTCTGGCTTTTCCCAGTGCCCGAAATAAAGGCACACCGTGTGGCCACTCTGGAAGCTTTTCGTGGGTGCTCACTATTCAGGCACAGTCTGAAGGGCGGCCAGGACTCCTTGCGTCTCTGCTCTCTCCCTCAGATATCTCCTGGTTCAAGGGCCGCCAGCCGCTGTCAGCACGGAAGGGAGTGACGGTATCAGCTGATGGCAGAGTTCTCCACATTGAGCAGGCACGATTTTCTGATGCTGGGAGCTACCGCTGTGTGGCAGCCAATGTGGCAGGGAGCACAGAGCTGCAGTATGGGCTACGGGTCAATGGTGAGCTGCCCTGGGACTAAGGGGTCCTCATCCAAAAAGTAATTCCTACATTCATGTGTCTGTCAGTCTCCCCATCCGTCTGTCCGTCCATCCATCCATCCATCCATCCATCCATCCATCCATCATCCATCCATCATCCATCCATCATCCATCCATCTACCCATCCGTCATCCATCCATCTATCCATTATCTACCCATCCATGTATCCATCATTGATCCATCTACCCATCATCTATCCTTTCATCCATCCATTACCCATCCATCCATCATCCATCCATCTACCCATCCATTATCCATCCGTCTATCCATTATCTACCCATCCATCCATCCATCATTCATCATTATCCATCCATCTCTGTAACCATACATCCAATCCTCTGTCCACCCATCCATCCATTCACCCATCTGACTGTCTATCTGCCCATCTACTTACCCATCCATCCATTCCTCTTTTTATCTATCTTCTATCCAACCACTTTTATTGAGTGCATGCTCTGGGGTGGACCTTGGGGCTGAGAAAACAGACCCCAGGGGCCTTCCGTCTAGTGGAGAATACAGTAATTATATTCTGGAAGAATACACAGTCACCCGGTATGCTATCTTCTGACAAAGAGGAGGTACGACCGAGTGCCCGGAACGGGGCACCAAGCTGGCCTGGGAAGTCCCAGAAGTGTCTTTGACATTTGGATGCATCCACTGCTGACCACCTGCCAAGGGCTGAGGCTGCAGAGATGCGGGGAGTTACAGGCACCAGAAGGAGGCTGGGACCCTGGCCATCGAGGCTGTATCTCCCAGATCCCGTTGAATCTTTGGACCATTTTTCTGCCCTGGAAGGCAGGCTAGCGTTTCACCTGCTGCCTCTGATTTGGGCAACAAAACCTGCCCAGAGGGTGCCCCCATGCTGTCTGCATAATCATGACCCCGTGCTATTTGTCACTTTCTAACTGGTCGACCTTGGGCGTGACTTGCCCTCTCTGAGCCCCCCAGTTTCCCATCTGTAGAAGCCTCATCGTGGTGGTGTAAGGATGAGAGGAGCCCATCGAAGCTGCGGGGTGGCCCGCCCTGTGGGGTGGCCCGGCAGGGGGCCCTACTGGCTCCGCCCCCGGTGGGGCTCACCCCGCGCCCGTGGTGTCCTCTGCCCCGCAGTGCCTCCACGCATCACCCGGCCGCCCAGCCTGCCAGGCCCCGTGCTGCTCAACGCCCCGGTCCGGCTGACCTGTGACGCCACCGGAGCCCCTAGCCCCACGCTGATGTGGCTCAAGGATGGAAACCCCGTGTCTACCTCAGGGGCCTCCGGCCTCCAGGTCAGCAGGCTGGGCAGCCCTGGCGCACCTCTCTGGTGCCTCAGGAGGTACTGGGAGCAGAGGTTGGGCCCTGGGAGCCCCGAGGTGATGGCTGAGCGGTGGCCGCTGGGGACGGTTAGCTGCCAGGGGGCGGGGAAGGAGAGCTGCTAATAAAAAGAAGAGTCTGGAGCCGCAGGGGGCTCCGGAAGCGTGATGCGCAAGTGCGCCACCCATGCGGGCCGGGCCGTAGATGTAACTTTAAATTTCCTAGGGCCGACGTTCGAATGAGTAAAGGGAAAGAAATGAAATCAGTTTCAGTAGAACGTTTTAGTTAAGCCAATCCATCCAAAACTCTATGATCGGTTATTATGAAGGCCTTTTACAGGGTTTCTTTTGGGTCCAACTGTTTGAAGTCTATTGTGTATCATCCCGGAGGTGGGGGTAGGGGTGGGGGTTCAGCCAGTGTCAAGGGCTCCGTAGCCCCAGCCCTGGTCTAGAGCGCAGCGAGGTGATTGGCCCGCCCCCCGGAGGTCCCGAGGTCTGGGTACAGCTCGCAGCTTTCCAGCACTGGAGGGGGGGGAGTCTGGGGTCTGGGGCACGTGAAGGTGTGGGTGCTGCCCCCTGAGGTGCGTCGCCTCACGTGGGCTTCCGTCCGGGGACACAGGTCTTCCCCGGGGGCCGGGTCCTCTCCCTGGCCAGCGCCCGGGCCTCCGACTCCGGCAGCTACTCGTGCGTGGCGGTGAGCGCGGTGGGGGAGGACCGCCAAGACGCCGTCCTGTCCGTCCACAGTGAGTCCCGCTCAGGATGCTGTCTGGGCCCCGCGGGGGCTCAGCGAGGTGGGGCTGGGGGCGTCCCTCCCGGAAGCCCGTCCAGAGTGGGGGAGGGGTGGTTGGGCACGGGAGGTGCCGGCCTGAGACCGTGGCTGCCTTCGTGGGGGCTTGAGTTAGAGGCGAAGTGCTCCCCCATTGCAGACGGAGGGGCGGGGAGTGGAGGTGAGTGGCCCACATCGGCAGGAGCTGGTGTTCGGGGAGCAGGTGGAAGGTGGCAGGAAGGGCCCCGGGGCAAGTCAGGAATAAGATGCTTTCACGGTCCTGGATGGAAGGGGGTCACTACTTTCCAGAAAGGCGGACGGGGGAGGGTGAGGAGCTCCTGAGTGTCATCGCCGTGGGGTGCGAGTCCTGCCTCGCCACTTCCTGGCTCTGTGAGCTCGGGCTAGCCACTCCGCCTCTCTGAGCCTGCGTCTCTTTATCTGCGCAACGGGCGAAGAGAGCGCCCGCCTCAGTGGTTGCCCTGGGATTCACCAGACTCGTGACGCACACAGTTCCACTCACTGCTGTTTAAAATCCCCAGGGCGCCCCGGGGGGCTCTGTAGGTTCAGCGTCCGGCTTGCGCTCTGGTCATGAGCTCACAGTCCATGGGTTCAAGCCCTGCGTCCGGCTCTGTGCTGACAGCTCAGAGCCTGGAGCCTGCTTCCCATTTTGTGTCTCCCTCTCTCTCTGCCCCGTTCCCGCTCACACTCTGTCTCTCTCTCTCTCAAAAATAAACATCAAAAAAAATTTTTTAAAGCTTAAAAGAAGATATTGTTTCTTTTTTTTAAAGTTTATTTTTGAGAGAGAGAGACAGCATGAGCATTGGAGGGGCAGAGAGGGAGGGAGACACCGGATCTGAAGCAGGCTCGCATCTAGAGAGAGCCCCACGCGGGGCTTGAACCCACAAAACCGTGAGATCGTGACCTGAGCCGAAACCTAGAGTCAGACACTTAACCGACCGAGCCACCCGGGCGCCCCCAAAATATTTTATTTCTAGAAGAATTTGAGATCACCGTAAATTCACAGGCAGCTGTAGGAATTAGTACAGAGCGATCCTGGGTCCCCTCTACCCAGTTTCCCTCGATGGTGGTATTGACGCTGAATCCCACGTGGGGTGTTGACGCTGCTGTGACTCACCGTCCTCAGATTTGGGGGCCCCCTCGGGGGTCAGGACCGGGAGGGTCCTCACAGGGAGGATGAGAGGGCCCCAGCTCAGGCTGGCGGCCCCCTCCCAGCGCCGCCCCCCCCCCCCCCCCGCCCCGCCCATGCCCTGTTGCTTGCTTCTGACCCCGGCCCGGCATCCTGCCGGCCCCAGCCACGTGCCTGAGACCCCTCTCCTGCCCCCTCCTGCAGTGCCCCCCAGCATCCTCGGCGAAGAGGTGAACGTGTCCGTCGTGGCCAACGAGTCCGTGGCCCTGGAGTGCCGGGGCCAAGCCGTGCCCCCGCCCGTGCTCACCTGGAGGAAGGACGGCCGCCCCCTGGAGCCGCGGCCCGGCGTCCACCTCTCCGCAGACAAGGCGCGGCTGGAGGTGAGCAGGGCGGGGGCCGTGGGGGAGCCTACGGGACCGGCTCAGCTCGGTGTGACCCAGCTCCCGGGGCACGTCCTCCTGACCTGGTCAGAAGCTGCCGCAGGGCCCCCCCTCGGTCCCCACAGGGCTGAGCCCCTCACGTTTCACCTGTTTTTTCCTCCCTGTTCTAAGGCCTCCCGGCCTTGAGGCATTGGAGACCTTCACCGGGCCCCTGGCGCAGCCAGGGAAGGGGAGATTAGGGTCAGGGACTGTGGGGGCAGCAGCCTGGGTTTAAATTTTATTGCCGCCTCCTCCCCGCTGGGCCACCTTAAGGCGGTGTCTTGACTGCTCGTGTCTGTCGCCTGTAAGCTGCCCTTCTGGGGCGGCTGGGGGTCTTATGAAAAGAAAGCCAACCCCCAGGATAGCGCGTCCCTGTTCAGCTAGGGGAGGGGAGGTATTTCTCCGGCTGTTGGGGAGAAACTTCCACTCCAGCCTGTTCCTCCTCCTCCCAGCCCTCTACACCTTGTGATGTGATCATTCCCAACTCTGAACACCCCAATTTGGTTTCCCCTACCCCCAACTTAGCTTCCTCACCTCCTCTGTCAGGATCTGACCTCTGAGGACAGGATCTTACCCCACCCCCACCCCCATCCTTCTTCATTTTCTACCTTCCCTTCTGGTCCGTTCTGTCGGACTTTCCAAAGAGGCCGGGAGCAGATTAAAGGCAGGAGAGGCAGCCCTTGGCAGAGCTGGGCTGGGGATGTGAATTGGGGGTGAGGCTGTTGGAGCTGCCACATGGGGAACGCATTCCGTGTGCCGGCCCAGGTCAGGCGACTGCAAGCTGTGGCTTCTAGAAACTTCACGGTGCGCTATGGAGGGGAGGTGCCCTCAGTCCCAGGTGGGGCGGCCTGGACGCAGTGAGGTCAAACCACCTGCCCAAGGTCACGCTCGGCCCCCGCTGACGGGCCATTCTTGCCCTTGGCCAGGTGAGCAGAGCGGAGGTGGAGGACGCCGGCCGCTATACCTGTGAGGCGCTGAACCAGGCGGGCCGCTCGGAGAAGCACTACAACCTGAATGTCTGGGGTGAGGGTCTTGGGGTCCCTCCCCCGCACCTGCCGTGGCTCTGGCTTTCGCGTCCCCGGAGGGGTGCTGCCTCTCTGTTCCCCGCCCCCTTCCCTTCCCAGCCTGACACCCGCCTCATACGCCTCTCTGTTCCCCCCCCCACCAGTGCCTCCCGTGTTCCCCTCAAGGGAGCCCCGCACCCTGACCGTGACCGAGGGGCACCCCGCCAGGCTGTCCTGTGAATGTCGGGGCGTCCCCTTCCCTAAGATCTCCTGGAGGAAGGACGGTATGATCGCCTCCCTCGCCCTGCCCCGCCCTCGGTGCCCTGCTCAGGGAGGCTGCTCCCCGCCCTCGCGGGGTGCCCCTGCCCCCGAGCCTAGCTGAGACCCAGACAGCTGGGCTTGTGACACTGGGGGCACAGAAGCGGCACTGCCCTCAGTCCCTCTGCGCTTGGTACCCGAGTCTGCCAGTGAGAGCTGTTGGGCTGTGGCCTTCTCTTCCAGAAAGCCCTCCCTGACTAGCGCCCAAGGCTGGGCCAGGGCCTCCTTGACTCAGGCCCTGTGTTTACCTGTCATGTGACCACCTTAGCCTTTCCACGTCTGCTTCTCCATGAGTCTGTGCGCCCCGCAAGGCGTCGTCTCAGCCCTCCCCCCCCACCGCCCCGGATTCCAAAATTGGTGTAAAATAGTGCTCGGTAAATATTTGAGATTCATTCATTGACCCAATATTTACTGAGAGCCTCTCCCTGCCAGGCCCCATCCTGGGGGTTGGAAATATAGCAGCAGATTGGGGGAGTCAGATAATAGACAGAAAGTCAGTGAGTAACGTAGATGGTAAGTACTATCTATGGAGAAAAATAAAGCCAGAAGAGGGAGAAGGCGTTTGCAGTTTCAGGCTGGGCGGTCAGAGGCGTTTTTGGCCAAGCGGAATTTAAGAAGAGGAAGGAGGGATGCGTGTGAGAATATCGTAGGGAAAAAACATTTCAGGCGGCGGTATTAGCAGGTGCAAAGGCCCTGGGGCTGGGCTGGGCTTCAGGCAGCACCCGGATCTGCAGGCAGCTCCGTGATGCGGAGAAGCCCAAGGGTTACGGGGGCTCAGGGATGGGGTTTGGCACTCCGGGAGGGCTTCGCGAGAGAGGTGATGTGGACGTGGACGCCTGGAGGGTGGGCAGAAGCCGGCCAGGATGGGTGTGAGGACAGACATTCCAGGCGGAAGGACCGGGGACCAGGGGCTCTTTCTCGCTGCGCCCAGGTCAGCCCTTGCCGGGGGAGGGGAACAGCCTCGAGCAGGTGTTGGCTGCGGGGCGGCTGCTGTACCTGGGACAGGCCCAGCCGGCCCAGGAGGGAACGTACACCTGTGAGTGCAGCAACGTGGCGGGGAGTAGCAGTCAGCACCAGCTGCTGGAGGTGCATGGTGAGCCGGGCGGGGACGCCTGCACCCGGTGGAAGGGGCCGGAAGGGTGGGCCGCCGGGCACCCTGGGCGGGCGGGCCCCACCCTCCACAATCCCAGCAAAGACAGACGCAGTGACCGTGAGCATAGCTTCACGTTCCCTCTTGACTCCTGGGGCTTTACTCCTGCCCCTCCCAACCGGCCCCTTCCAGCCCGTGACCTGCGCGCGCGCTCGCGCGAGAGGGGCGCCAGGACCCCCGGTAGCCCCCGTGGGCCCCCGAGAAACAAGTATGTCTTGAGACGGTGGGAAACACAGACATGGAAGATTTCTGGGGAGTTCCTGCACGTAACGGGAACCCGTGTCCACACACTTGTCCCGGAGCGAGGGGATGAAACACCCCAGCCTCGTAAACGTCGTTCTAGAAAATAAGGCCAAGGACAGCGCCGTTCAGCATCCCGCGTGGAGAATAATGCCCTGCCCCAAACGGTCCCAGTGTCTGTTTAGGCTCCGGGAAGCCCCTCGTTTCTGGGGAAGGAGACCCCTCGCAGATCTTCCGGGCTGTGCTGTGACCTTATTCTCCAAGCAGAGGGCTTGCCCCTGATTTCCGGGATGCGGGAGAGGGGCCCAGGGGTGCTGTTGTGACCCCAGTGTAGAGATGGAAAATGGAGGCCCAGAGAGGTGGGGTCGCCTGGCGAGGTCACACAGCCAGTGAGCGGCCAGGCGAGGAAGGCCGAGTGGGGGGCCAGCCTCGCAGGTGGCAGGTGCCCGGTGCCCGGCGGCCACGGCGGCTTTCCCTGACACGCCGTCTCCTCATCTCCTCGTCCCCAGTGCCGCCTCAGATCGCTGGTCCCCGGGAGCCCCACACACAGGTCTCTGTGGTCCGGGACGGGGAGGCCACCCTGTGGTGCAACGTCACAGGGAAGCCCCCGCCCAGGGTGACGTGGGAGCGGGGCGGCCAGCCGCTGAGGGCCGCGCCTGGCCTGCTGCTGCAGAACCAAGGCCGGCGCCTGCGCGTGGAGCGGGCACAGGCTGCCCACAGCGGGCGCTACAGCTGCGTGGCCGAGAACGTGGCCGGAAGGGCCGAGAGGAGCTTCGCGCTCTCGGTGCTGGGTGAGGAGAGGAGGGCGGGAAGGGGGGCCCCGCTGGGGAGAACAAGGCCCGTTTGAGCTCTGGCAGGAGTCGGGCCTGCTGTTGGGGGAGCCTTGAACACTGCTCTCAAAAGCAAATAGCCCTCATTTCCTCCGTCCCTCTCTCCCTTACTTGCTGTTCCCCTACTCTGTTCCCGGCACTGGGGAACTACGCAGTCTCTATCCCGCATGACTCGTGTGTGATGGGGAGAACCAGGGCCTAGTAGAGACCAGGAAGAGCCTGAACACTTGTCATGGGAAGTCAGGGCGGCTTCCTGTAGGAGGTGACCTTTTAGCTGAAACGTAAAAGCTGAGTAGAAGTTAACCAGGTGCCGGGGCGGGGGAAGGGATGAGTGTGCGGGGCCAGAGGGAACACACTCTGCAGAGGCCTGGACAGGTGACACAGCACATGCAGGGTGACGGCCATATCCTCGTGATTCCAGTCTTTTATTGAGCGCCTACTGTATGCCTCAGGGTTGGCGCAGGAAGTGGTAGGAGGTAAGGTGGGCAGGGATGGGTTTAGGGAGGTCTCTCTCATCATGCCCCCCACGTCCACCCCCAGGATCCCTGGCCTCGCCCACTTCTCCCCTCCTGATAGAGTGTGACTTCCTTTTCGAGTGGATTGTTTAGAAAGCACAGAGGCGCCACTTACCTCTGGTGTGTGGCTTTAGGGGGCATATCTGCAGCCACCTAATTCCAGCCTCGTTGCTGAGCTTTGACTCCCTACCAGGCACTGTGCTAAGCGCTTGTTGAATCCTCCTGGCATCCCTCTGACGGGGTGGAGAAACTGAGGCCCAAGGTGTTTGTCTGGAGTCAAAGCCCAGCCTGCGGGCACCAGCCACTCCCTTCAGTGGGAGTCACTCTGATCTTGTCACTTCTGCTCCTCAGGCTCTCCTGACTGGGGGTGTACGGCTGACTCGCGGGGTACGGCTGTTGGGGGGGGTGCTGGGGAAGGAACGTACACCCCCCATGTGCACCCTGAGTGCGGTTTCTCCTCTGTGTCTAGTGCCCCCAGAGTTCACTGGAGACTTGGACCCACAGACCAACGTCTCTGCTGCCCTGCACAGCCCCTTGACGCTGCTCTGTGAAGCCACAGGCGTCCCCCCGCCACGGGTCCGCTGGTTCCGAGGGGAGGAGCCCATCATCCCCGGGGAGGACACCTACCTCTTGGCAGGTAAGGTGCCAGCCAGGGGACAGTCTGGACCTCTCCCTCTGTTTATCACACGCCCCTGACCGCTGACCCCTCGCTGCCAGGCCTGGCTGGGATAACCATTTAGCCGTTGGTCCCTCACATATGCCACCGGAAACACTGGCTAGGTGAGGTACTCCAGGAAACACAACCGGATTTAAATAAGCGTAGGAGAGACTTCTACTCTGTTCCCCTCCTGAAGGCTGACAGCGACTATGTGCATAGTGAAGGTTCTGATAAGTCCTGCAGCAGAAATTCTCATGGCACATCCATTACATCCCCCAGGACAGTAACAGACTTTGAGAATGCTGAGCCAGGCACCTCCTCTGGATATCCCTCCTCCCCACAGAGTTGGTTTGTGAGAGTCCTTCCTGGTGCACAGCAGGGGAAACCGGGGCCCAAGAGGCAGTGGCCCGTCCAAATCTCACGAGAACTCTCCAAGACCCCCCAAAGTCCAGCCTCAGTTGGACATCACATATCGCATCACCACAGCTGGCACACTTCTCTTCTGCTGGGCAGCCTGGGCTCAGCTTGGCCCACTCCCCTCCCTCCCCAGGGGGCCGGATGCTGAAGGTGGCCCGGGCCCAGGAGCAAGACAGAGGTCTCTACTCGTGCCTAGCGAGCAACGAGGCTGGAGAGGTTCGGAGGAACTTCAGTGTGGAGGTCCTGGGTAAGCCACAGCCCCGTTCCGATGAGCACCCCACGAATCCCCCCTCTCTTGCCTAGGAGCTTCTGGGGGCTGTCCCCAGGACCATGGGCTTATGCTATAGCAGGGGGCTCACCACAAGAAGGAGGGAGAGACCAAGCCTTGTTTCCTCTGCTCTGAAGCTGCCATGGAACTTTCCAGAAACAGCAGAGACTAACCCCAACTGGAAGGGGGACAAATATTTGCAACACCACTCACTTATTGAACTCACTGCCCCATGGAAGGAGGCATAAGGGGATGGGAAACTGAGGCATAGGAAACTGAAGGCACTTGCCTTGGCACTTGGTTCTGGGCTCTTGGCCTCCTGCTTCAAGGTCGTTTGGTCAACCCTGGTCAGTAACCGTCTGTCTCCCTGCTTCTGCCAGTTCCTCCCAGAATTGAGAACGAGGACCTGGAGGTGGCAGTCAGGGTCCCCGAGGGGCAGACAGCCCACCTGACGTGCAACGCCACAGGTAAGGGCCCCACACAGAGGCCGGGAGAAGCATGGGAAGTCGGCTTCAGAGAGAAGGAGGGGGCGCCCGGGGGTTCCATCCTGCCCCCAGCCCGAGTGCTCCCTGTGGGTCTCTGTGCATCCTGAACTTGGCACCGCATCCCCGCTCATCTTTGCACTTGCTCTGCCTCCGCCCCAAACACTCCTCCCCGCCCCTCACCTGACTAGAGACCTCAACTTCCAGAACTTTCCACAAGGAGCCCTTGGTTGACCCCTTGGGCCCGTGGGCTACCTCCACTGGGGTTCCACAGGCCCCAGGGCTTTCTCGTCCCAGCAGTAAGCACCCTGGACCATAGTAACCTTGTGACATCTGTGTACCCCCCCGGGCTCTGAGGTCCTTCAGGACCCAAGGATTGCCTGGTCACCACGGCCCTCCCAGTGCCTCGTGGAGTAGGCTCCCATTAACGCTTGTGGACTGGAGTGGATGGATGGAGAGAGGGATGGAAGGGAGGGAGGGAGGGAGGGGGGGGGGGGGGGATGGATGGATGGACGGACGGATGGATGGGTGAACGGGAGGCAGAACTTGCGCCTGCCCTGCAGCTCTGCACCGAGCCGTGTCTGCCCAGTCCTCCATGAGCAGCAGGCAGGCAGCCACATGGGAAGGGGCCCAGGCCAAGCTCGGAGGCCGCTTCCGCGGCCTGCCCTGCTGCGGGGACCCGGCCTGAGATGGAGAATCCACGGCCCCTGCCTACCCCGGGGCCACCTCTGACTCTTGGCCCGCCTAGTCAGAGCCTTCTGAATGGTCTCATCTGCCTCTCCCGCTCCTTACAGGCCACCCGCAGCCCAAGGTCACGTGGTTCAAAGATGGCCGGCCGCTGGCGGGGGGAGACGCCTACCGCGCCTCTCCAGACGGAGCCCTCCTGCGGGTCGTCCGGGCCAACCTGTCGAGTTCTGGCCACTACTCCTGCATCGCCGCAAATGCCGTCGGGGAGAGGACCAAACACTTCCAGCTTAGCGTCCTGGGTAAGTGCCGGTCGCCTCCCGGACCCCCTGGGCTCCGAAAGGAGGGGGGACCAAGGTGCCCCGCTCCTAACAGGCAGCTTCCCACAAAGCACTCTGCTATCTCCCCCCCCCACCCCCATTTCTTCAGGTTCAACCACAACAAAAGTGGTCCAAGCTGTACTGGCTGAACATTTATCATGAGCTGGGCATTTGCACAGGCCTGAGTGGCTGGACCTTCACAGCAAGCCTGGGGGGGGCTGGGGGGTGTGCTTGTCCCTCTGTGTCACCAGTGAACTCTGAGGCTTGGAGAGGTGACAGGGCCCCCAGGTGTCCGTCTCCCGGGGGTAATCGGCACGAGCTTTCTTCAGGAGAAACGGGGGCCTAGAAAATGAGAGGGACACAGTCTGGCTTAATAAAATCTCTTCTACAAACACCGGTGGTAAAAGGGACAGTCCCTTGCAGGACCTAAAAGAAGAAATCTTAGGGCCAACGAGCGCAGAGCTATTCCACGCATCAGGGCGAGCGGGACAGATTGGAACCCAAGCGGGATTGACACGGCTCTGGTACATTAGCAGATGGGCTGGCTGTTAAAGACTTCTGGGGAAATTGAGGCAGGAATAGTCCAGAACCTCCCCTGGGGCGCTGCTTAGGGGTCGAAAGCATAGGCTCGGAAGCTAAGCACCACCAGTGGCTGAGATCTTTCTGGATCCTTGGGCCCGGGTTAGGATCTCTGTTAAGGATCACAGCCCCCCCTGCCTCCCCACAGTGGCTCCCAGCATCCTGGGAGTGGCCGAGGACAGTGCGGACCAGGAGGTGACAGTGACCATCAACAACCCCATTTCTCTGATCTGTGAGACGCTGGCCTTCCCCTCCCCCACCATCACCTGGATGAAGGACGGCGCCCCCTTTGAGGCCTCCAACAACATTCAGCTGCTCCCAGGTGCTGCCCTCCGGCGGTTAGAGGAAGGGACCGCTGAGCCTGAGGTCATGGGCCCTTGCGGGTGACGCTGGCCCCTGTCCCCGCAAGCAGGCACCCGCGGGCTACAGATCCTGAATGCCCAGAAGGAAGACGCGGGCCAGTACACCTGCGTGGTCACCAATGAACTTGGGGAGGCCATGAAGAACTACCACGTGGAGGTGCTCAGTAAGTCGGGGAGCCTCCCAGACAGGACAGGGCAGGTGGGAGACTGCTTGGGAGCCCTGGGACCGCGGCACCTGGGCCACACGGACACCCTAGGCACCTCCACGTGGCGCATCTCCTCTGAGGGTCCCCAGGCAGCCAGAGCTGCCCCAGGCGTTGTAGGACCAGGGGCACTAGCAGCGGAAACAGGTGAGTTAGGACTTGGGCCACGTGTGCAGATCCCCGCCGGTCCCCAGTCACCTGCACTGCGCTGTGGCCATCGGCCCTACACCTGAGACCTGGCACCCCCAGAATGGCCCCCAGAGGTCACCCTAGGAAGTCCCCTGCCTGAGACCTGCCCTGCCCCGTTAACCACTAACAGCCAACCGTCCCTGCCCTAAATGCACAGTCACAGGAGCCGTCAGCCTCCAGGGTCCCTGTTGCTCTGAAGCAGGGAAGCAGCCGCCCGTTTCTGGGACTGCCCTGGACCCGCAGTGGGCACTGGGTACCGGCACCCCTTTCCCAGGCCTGCTCCTCACACCCCCTTGTGGCTTTCAGTCCCTCCTTCCATCTCCAAAGACGACCCCTCGGGGGAGGCCGGTGTGAAGGAAGTGAAGACCAAGGTCAACAGCACCTTGACCCTGGAGTGTGAGTGCCAGGGCGTGCCCCCGCCCACCATCAGCTGGTACAAGGACGGACGGGTGAGCTTGGGGCCCCGGGAGCCCCCTGCTTCTGCTTGGAGCCTTCCGGAGAAGGCAGGCAGAGCTTCCGGTCCTGCCCCACTTTATGTTTTAATAAGAAATCCAACTCTTTATAGGGAACTCATCAACATTAAACTCCACATTCACTCATTTAACTTGCCCAGTTTTTCAGCTACACGGGTTTGGTGTTTAAAACCGTCAGAGCGCTACCCTCGCTTCGTGTTGTATTTTTTAAATTTTATTAAGCTCTGTGTACTCTCGACTAAGTATTTTCTGCTCCTTCATTCTTTCTTTCTTTTTTTAATGTTTGTTTATTTTTGAGAGCGAGAGAAAGAGGCAGAGCAAGTGGGGGAAGAGCAGAGAGAGAGGGAGACACAGATTTGGAAGCAGGCTCCAGGCTCTGAGGTGTCAGCACAGAGCCCGACATGGGGCTCGAACTCAAAAACCACGAGATCATGACCTGAGCCGAAGTCAGTCACTTAACTGAGCCGTGCAGGCGCCCGCTTAGCGTGTGTGTGTGTGTGTGTGTGTGTGTATTTTAAAGTTTTACTTATTTATTTTGAGAGAAATACAGAGAGAGACAGCACGAGTGGGGGAGGGGCAGAGAGGGAGTGAGAATCCCAAGCAGGCTCTGAGCTGTCAGTGCAGAGCCCCTCACGGGGCTCGAACTCACAAGCTGTGAGACCATGACCTGAGCTGAAACCAAGAATCAGGCGCCTAACCGACTGAGCCACCCGGGTGCCCCTGCCCCTCATTTCTGATCGTCCCCCCTCTTTCTACCCCCAGCCCGTGACCCCCAACCAGCGGCTCCACATCCTGGGCGAAGGCCGGCTGCTCCAGATCCAGCCCACGCAGGTCTCCGATTCAGGAAGATACCTGTGTGTGGCCACCAACGTGGCAGGCGAGGATGACCAGGACTTCAATGTGCTCATCCAGGGTGTGTGGGGGCCACTGGGGCAGGGATGGCGCAGGGGGAGCGGGGAGTGTCCCTGCTTCTGGAATGATCTAGCAGGCAGGCTGTGTTCCTGGCTGCTTGTTCTCTTGCTCGTGGCTGGCATGTCTTGCCCCCAGAACCCTGGCCCGGGCTCTTCCCTTAACTGACTGTGACCTGGGGACGTCACTGCCCCCCCCCCCCCCCCCCCCCCCCCCACTGGCCTTGGTTTTACCTTTGTAACATGTGGGTCATCGAATCAGGTGGCCTCGAGGGGCCCTCCGCTTCTGAAAGCCAATGGTTCTGGACTTCTGTGTTCCAGTCAACAAACCCTAGCTAAGACTTAGGATCTGGCTTCCTCCCCCGAGAGGGATGTCAGCATGTCACGCGAAGTCTTTGAGTCCCCTGGATGTGCGCTGCGGAGGGCAGAGCTCTGTCCCCGTGCCTAGCATCGTAGCTGCTCAGCAAACGCTGTTTGAAGGAATGAGTGTGTTTGAAAACTGCCTGGACCTTGGGGATCCGCTCTCACAGTGCACTTTCCAGCCCTGAGAGAGGCTGGCACGGGAGTCTCTTGGAGCAGAAGTGCACCCCGGTCCCTCAGCTGTGCATCCTAATGGCTCTGTCCCCCACCCTAGTGCCCCCCATGTTCCAGAAGCTGGGCGACGCCGGTGAGGACTTGGAGACCCTGTCCAGGGAAGAAGAGGTCCGCGGTGGGGTGACCGAGTTCCGAGAGGTTGTGGAGGACAGCCCCGCCTATCTGTACTGTGACACCAATGCCATCCCTCCCCCGGAGCTCAGCTGGTACAGAGACGGCCAGCCCCTCTCGGCTGGAGACGGGGTGTCCGTTCTGCAAGGTAGCTGAGGGTGTGCCCAGAGAGGTCGGGGCATCCGCAGGCAGGGATCGGGGGCACCCTCACCTCAGACTGGCCTTCTGTGTCCTCGGAGCCCTCCTGTGTGCCACTTGCTGTGTGACCTCGGGCAGGCCACCTGCCCACTCTGGACCTTAGCTGCCTTTTGTAAACCAGGGCTAGATGCCCTTTGCTTATTTGAAGGCAAGAGCAGGGTCCGCCTTTGCCTCTGGTTTTTAGAACAAGCCCAGCTCTGGGTTTCGAGATCTGGAAGGTCCTGGAATGGCTGGGCCAAAGCTGGTGTCTTCTCTCTGCAGGGGGAGCTGGTTCCTTTGTTATGATCGCATGGGGACCACGCTGGGGTGGGGATTCCAGGCACAGAGCCCTGTATCATCTCATCAGAGGGGGAGCGCGTGACCTTTCGGCCTAGGATTTGTCCTTTGTCCTGCCAGCCCCAGGGGGCAATGGGGGGGGGGGCGGGGGAATGACACGGTTTGCACAGGCCTCTGGATGAGCAGGGTCATTCCAAGATTTGTACTTTGGCGCTTGCAAAAGAAGACAGACTCCTGGAGAAGGAGGGAAGGCAGTGCTTACTGAAACTGTTTATTGCTATCAGAAACTCCTGACTGACCCCTCAACCCGGCTCCTGCCCTTGGACTTGGACCCTGACCCAGATCCTGGGTACACAGTGAGCTCAGTCACATGCTGATGCCTACCTCAGGTCCAGACCAGAGGTTAATCCCAGCCATCGGTGGCTCCCCCTGGTCCTCGTCATTAATCTCCAGTCTCAGCACTGGCCACTGACCGCCAAGCATGGGCACGTGGTGGTTGTGGTCACGGGTGGACCTTAACTCTGAACCTGACCGTAGATCAACTTCACGTATCAAGTGACCCCCAGCCCCTATCAGACGCAGCCACCGGTTCTTTGATCCGGGCCACTTGTCCCCTGCTTCTAACCTTGGCCACAAGCACACCACAGCCTGGGCCAGCGACCCCCTCCCCCGCAACCCAGAATCCTGAACTCATAGGGACCTCAGCTCGGCCCTGCTGGAGACCATCTCTAGCGCCCCCCGCCTCCATAGATGCCAGGGTCTGGCACTGTCTGTCTCTTGATCACAGAGCGTCCCAGGTGACACCCCCAGCACCCCCCCCAACCCCGCACAATCACTACAACCCAAGAGCTGTCCTCTCGCTTTCTAAAAGCCAATGCCTAGACATTGGCCCAGCTCCCTGCCCCTCTGTGTGCCTTCAGCGAGGAGCTGGGCTCAGCGCTGCTGGGCTCTCTTGGGAAGCCTCAGTTCTTCCATCTGCAAGATGGGAGTGGTAATCGCACACAGAGTTGGAGGTCAGGAAAACGCCCAGCCCAGGGCCCGGCACCCAGCAGGCGGGGCAGGCTGATCGTCTCCATGTCACCCAGGAGGTGGGCCAGTGACGTCTCCCAGGGCCCCTCCAGGGTCAAGAGTGGGCCTCCTTGTCCTTGTTCAGGCCTCGGTCCTGTGTCCCCGCAGGAGGTCAAGTCCTGCAGATCCCCCTGGTGCGTGCAGAGGATGCCGGGACGTACTCGTGCAAGGCCTCCAACGAGGTGGGCGAGGACTGGCTGCACTACCAGCTGTTCGTGCTGAGTGAGTGGCCGGCCCGGGGCCGGGGGGCCTGGATCTGCAGGGCCCATGGCGGGAAGGGGGCGGTGCTCCTTGCCGAAGGGGGTCAGGGCAGAGTGCATGGCCAGTCCTGCCGTACCGGGCGGTTGATGACAGAAGGCACACTACCTTGGACTGGGTTCAGATTCCAAGTGGCTCTGTGACCTTGGGCAAATCACAGGTGTCCCTGTGCCCCGGAGTCCCTAGCTGCAGCGCCTGGGGTGCTTGGAGAGTAGGGCACAGGGAGCCCCTCCACACCCCCCACCCCCCACCCCAGCGACCCTTCCCAGGCAGCCCGCCACTCCTCACCCTGCTCTGTCTGACCCCCAGCCCCCCCTGTGATCCTGGGTGACACGGAGGAGCTCGTGGAGGAGGTCACGGTCAACGCCAGCAGCACCGTCAGCCTCCAGTGCCCGGCCCTGGGCAACCCTGTGCCCACTGTCTCGTGGCTCCAGAACGGGCTGCCTTTCTCCCCGAGCCCACGGCTGCAGGTCCTGGAGGACGGACAAGTCTTGCAGGTCAGGACGTCCCCCGGCTCGGGCGCCTGCTGTGACTCAGTCCTGCTTGTCCGGGAACCCAGGAGCCGGCCTTACCTGTGCCAGATGAGGCTCTTTGCCTGAAGGCAAAGATTCAGTTCAGCCCCCCCCAATCATCTTACGCGAGGAGCTCTCGGACAGCACAAGGCCACACGCAGTACCTGGAAAGGACACATGTGCTGCATCTAGAGCCCAGCGCGGCAGGAAAGCCATGTGACCCTTACAGAGCTGTGCCTGGCACCCTCGGTCACCCAGATCCAGACACCGCTGTATGGGTCAGGGTCAGGGTCAGGGTCAGGGTTAGGGGTTAGGGCTAGGGTTAGGATTTAGGGTTAGGGGTTAGAGTTAGGGTTTAGCGGTAGGGCTAGGGGGCGGGGCTAGGGTTTAGGGGTAGGGATCAGGGTCAGGGTTAGGGGTTAGGATTAGGGTCTCCCAATAAAGTACAGAGTGACCCTGCTTGGGTTCGGTGAGGAGGGCCTGTGTCACCATCTAGTTTGCTATCGGCAATCATCTAGCATCAACCTTTCACTTTGCCCTGAATGTCACAAAGAACCCTTTACTGATGTAGGGGATGGGGGTCACCCTGAGCGCTGCTCTGTGCAAACATAGGTGTCCAGCCTTCTGAGGGTCGGGGGTGAGCCCTCTCGGTCCTTCCTGGGGGAGCCCAGAGGTGTCTCCCAGACACCCTTTCCCTCGCCCGCAGGTGTCCACGGCAGAGGTGGCCGATGCCGCCAGTTACATGTGTGTGGCCGAGAACCCAGCAGGCTCCTCAGAGAAGCTTTTCACCCTCAGGGTGCAAGGTGAGCTGGGCCAAGCAGCAGCCCCGGGGAGGTGGGAGGGGGTGGTTCCCAGCTCTGGAGGGCCTCTGCTCTGGGCTGGTGGTGGCCCACTCCGTGGGTTGACCTTGCGGGCGGACATGGCGTGTCATCCCACCGCGAGGGGCACTGTCTCAGGGCTTCTGGTGTCCTGGGCTCTAGGCCTGGACCCAGAGCACATAGATCCCAGCTGACGCCAGCCATATGCAGGGACCTTGATTGCTGCGAGCCAACCCCCGATGATTTTTTAAAAACTTTTTTTTAATGTTTACTTACTCATTTTGAGAGACAGAGAGATAGAGTGCACACAGGGGAGGGCCCCAGAGAGAGGGAGACACAGAATCCTAAGGAGGCTCCAGGCTCTGAGCTGTCAGCACAGAAGCCGACGTGGGTCTCGAACTCACAGACCGCGAGATCATGACCCTTTCCCTGGGGTGTTCTTCCAGCAGAGCTAGGAGGTCAGCCCAAATTTACAGCTCAGAGGGTACCCCCAGAAGGGGATCTCTATCTCATTGGCCATGAGCTCTGCCTCCAGATGTGGGGCAGCTGTGGCCTCAGGGACAGAGGGAAGACAGAACACTCAAAGCCTAGGACTCAAGCCTGAATGAGATCTCAGCCCCACCACTGTGCAGCTGCATGGCTTTGGAGCAGTGACTCTCCCTCTCTGATCTCTGAGCCTTGTGTTGTCATCGGTGAGGCAGCTGTGACAAATAGGGTCTACTGCACGGCGTTGTTTATTATTTTTTAATGCTTTTTATTTATTTCTGAGAGGGAGAGAGAGACAGCGTGAGCAGGGGAGGGTCAGAGAGAGGGAGACACAGAATCGGAAGCAGGCTCTAGGCTCTGAGCTGTCAGCACAGAGCCCAACACGGGGCTCGAACCCACGAACCACGAGATCCTGACCTGAGCTGAAGTCCGACGCTTCACCGACTGAGCCAGCCAGGCACCCCCAGCCTCGTTTAAAGGGACACCAAGACACGGCACCAAGAGCTCCTAGCTGACCGTGTCCCACTCTGTGGCTCTCTGTCCTCCCTGCACCAGAATGCGTTCATTCTCATGTGTCTTTCTTTCTCCCGGTGGCTGTGGGGACAGCCCCCCCACGAATCACAGGCCCAAACTTGGAGCAGGTCACGGCCATCGTCAACAGCAGCGTTGCCCTGTCCTGTGAGGTCCATGCTCACCCGAGCCCTGAGGTCATGTGGTATCGAGACAGCCAGGCCCTCTCTCTGGGAAAAGAGGTCTTCCTCCGGCCTGGTGGGTAAACTGAGGCTTGGAGTGCAGCCTGAGGCTGTGTGGGAAGTCAGAGTTGCTTCCTCGGGAGTCTGGGAGGTCTTTGGGATTGTGGGCCGGGGGGCCTGAGGCCTGTTTGCTGGTGCGAGGGGCTCGCTTCCTCCCCCCACCCCCCGGCAGGCACCCACACCCTGCAGCTGGCCAGGACACAGCCGTCAGACTCCGGGATGTACACGTGTGAGGCCCTCAATGCCGCCGGCCGAGACCGGAAGCTGGTGCAGCTTAGCGTGCTGGGTATGTCCTGTCTGTGCCCCACTCCTTCAATGAGCCCCCAGCCCCACACCCTGAATCAGCACAGCCAGGAGAGGGGCAGCCGGCCCCGGGGCGGGGGGGGGGCATCCCAGGCCCCCTCTCTGGGCAGCACGGTGGGTAACATCCTGGTCTGTAGAGTTGGACACACGGAGTTTGAGACTCAGCTGTGCACTTAACTTGCTGTGTGGTCTTGGGCAAGGCACTGTCCCTCTCTGAGCCTGAGGCCTCCCGTCTGTAAGGTGACAGTTGGCGTAAGCACGGTTTGAGAGTGTTTACCCCACACCTGGGGCGCCGTGAACCCTGAAGCCAAGGAGCAGATAGTAGGACAGCTCGGCGGGGGGCGGGGGGAGGTGCTGGCCCAGAAAAGTCCCTTCCCAAGCCTGATTGATCCCAGGTTTTCCGCAGAGAGACTGTGTCGGGCCTCCTGGTCTTCAGAATCCTCTTGGGGAAAAGCTGGCCCAAGTTGTCATGAGCCAGGGCTCCCTGGAGGTTTCCTTCTAGCCCCAGGGCTAGTTGATTCATGAGTGTGTTATTCCCGGACTGTGTGTGCACAGGACGCTGTGACAGGTCCCATGGGCTCATAACCAGGGGCGGGGGCTTCTGCATTGGTTTGCTGGAGGGACATGGGCTGTGGGGTCCCCTCACCCCAGAAGGCTCTGACGCACCAGGGCCCGCCCTGTGTAGGAAAGATCCCAGGAGGGCCATTGGAGCATCGCCCCGTCTAGGAAGCTGAGGCGGGAGAGGGCAGGAGGCTTTTCCCAGGACCCGGGCCCTCCTCACCTCCCTGGGTCTGTGCCATCCCAGGGGCGGGCTCCACTGTGGGACCCCTGTGGGCCTCCGTCGCCCGTAGCTGGAAGCAGGCAGGATGCCGGGAAGGCTGCCGGGCCTCACTCCGCTCACCTGTGTTCCCAGTGCCCCCCACCTTCAGGCAGGCTCCCAGCGGCCCCCAGGATGCGATCCTGGTCCAGGCTGGGGACACAGCCGTCCTGAGCTGCGAGACCGACTCGCTCCCTGAGCCGACCGTGACGTGGCTTAAAGACGGGCAGCCCCTGGTCCCGGCGCAGCGCACCCAGGCTCTGCTGGGTGGGCAGAGGCTGGAGATCCAGGACACCCAGGTGGGCAGCCCCGAGGCCTGGGCAGCAGTGGGCGGTCGTGGGGCCGGGTCCTGGTGAGCCCGGGAGGTGGGGTGGGGCAGCCGCGTGGCAGGGAGTGGGGACGGTCACCCCCTCAGCCTCCAGGATCTCGTGCCACGCTGCTTAGCGGCCTCCGGGGCAGTGATAGGAGAAGAGCGTTTGAGCTCCAGGGCTGGCTCTGAACTGACCTTGGGCAAGTCCATTACCCGGCACCTGCCTCCATTTCCCTGGGATCTAGAAGCCTTTTCCAGCCCCTCCCCTCCCCCCCCAGCTGTGCCTATCTGGGAGTCTGCTCTGCCCGCCCCCCTGGTGTGGATTAGACACTCACAAGTGTCTGCTGTTCCTCTGGAAATCCATGCTGGGCTCCTGTCTTCCAGCCCAGCTCCATCCTCCCCCCACCAGCGAGGGACTTTTTCCTCCAGGCTTGGCTGACATGTAGACCCAGGGGCGGGTGGGGGGGTCTAGAACCTATGCACTCACCCTCCAGCAGCTTTCCTGATCTTGAGGTTCTTGGCAAAGGCCAGAGGGTCCTGGCTTCCCCGGCGGGACCAGCATATCTGGAGAGTCCCTTCTCTGGAAGGTTCTGAGGCCTGGGTGTTTTGGGGGGGTCCTAGGTATCCCCATCCTGGCCCCTTGCACACCATCACCATGTGCTCTCTTTGTCCCAGGTACTGGATAAAGGTGTATACAGCTGTAAAGTCAGCAATACCGCCGGGGAAGCCATGCGGACCTTTGTCCTCACCGTCCAGGGTAAGCTGGGGACCAGCCTGAGAGCATTGCTGTGGGAGCCCCTAGCAGCACACAGGGCTACCAAGGGTGGGAGGGGCAGTAGCCAGAAAGAGTCAGTGGCCCTGAGTATTTAGGGCACAGGATACGGCATTGAAAAGGCCAGGACTGCTCTTAGACCTGCTCTCTCAGGCTCAGCACAGCACCTTGGTTCCTCTGAGCCTTGGGTTTATCTTCCTGTAAAAGGAGGAAAAGTAGTACCTGCCTACTAGGTGGACAGGAAGCATTCAATTGATGGGCTGCTGTGACTGTATTATAAAGTGCCCAACACGGGCCCTGGGAGAGGCAGGCAGCTGGAGCCCTGGGGCCTTGTCACCACCATTTTGAGCCCTGAGGGGCCTGCTCCATCAGTCCAAGGACAGAACACAGATGGCATCTGATTGGATGTGGCTCAAGTGGGGGAAAGCGGGAGCTCACTTAGGGGAGCAAGGGGTGAAGGCTCAGCCAGATTTTCTTGGGGTCAGATGTTGTATCAGTTAGACTATAAACTCAGCTGTGTAACAAACAGACCCCAAACACAGTGGATTAAATGAGAGAACTTTACCTTTCTCATGCAGAAGCCCAGAGGTGAGTGTCTAGGCTTGTGGGTAGCTCAGGCCCTACCGAGTGGCAGGTAAATTACTGAGTGGCAATTTGGGGACCCAGGATCTTTCCATCCTGTTGGCCTCCCACCCCTTAGGGCGTCACCCCTGTCCACATGCATCCCATCCCAGTTCACAGGAAGCAGAAAGGAGCAGAAGCAGAAGGCAAACCTTTTTGTTTTGAGCGAGTGATGTGGAAGTTGTATCTGCCCTTGCCTTGCATCCTGTCAGTGGGAATGTCGGCTGCTGGATGCAGCAGGCTGCAAAGGAGACTGGGAAAATGTAGTTCTACCTGAGTGACCCTGTATTCAGCTAAGCTCCTGTGGAAGATGGGAAGGACAGGTGGGGGGGTGGGGGAGACATCTGCTGTCTTTCCCAGAAGGCAAAGCCAGTAAGTAGCCTGCCCGCCAGGCAAGCAGCAGGTGGATCTAACCATAAGCCATATTAATACCATTGTTGAAGATTATGGACACCAGGTTTGCTGCTTAAAGCCTTCTCCTGTTGGCTGCTTTGATGAATGGTGAGAAGGGGGGAATGTCTGGTCCCTGAGGACAGAGAGATTTCATCCTGAGTGCAGCCATTTTTGTCCCACTGGTAGTGGTTGCCTGGGATGCATGATGTCATCCTGGCTGAGCAGGAGAGAGGGCTAGGATCGATGCAATGTCTGCCATGCACACAGCCATGCCTTCACCATCTTTGGGCTGGGATTGATTAGTGATGTCTGCCCTATACACAGCCATGCCTTCACCATCCTTGGGCTGGGATCGATTAGCGAGGTCTGCCCTGTACACAGCCATGAATTCACCATCCTTGAGCTGGGATCGATTAGTGATGCCTGCCCTGTACACAGCCATGCATTCACCATCCTTGGGCTGAGTGGACCCCTCTGAGCTCTAGGGAGTTGCTGATTCTTTTTTTTTTTTTTAATGTTTTATTTATTTCTGAGAGAGAGAGGGAGAGACAGCATGAGCAGGGGAGGGTGAGAGAGAGAGGGAGATACAGAATCTGAAGCAGGCTCCAGGCTCTGAGCTTCTGTCAGCACAGAGCCCGACGCAAGGCTCGAACCCACAAACTGTGAGATCATGACCTGAGCCAAAGTCTGACGCTCAACCGACTGAGCCACCCAGGTGCCCCGGGAGTTGCTGGTTCTATTTACATTGGTGACTAAAACAACCTGTGTTTCTACCAATGGCAAAACATAAAATGTCAACTGCTAACCAGAAGGAAGAGCCCGTTGAGTGTCCCTATTCATCCTGAGCAGAAGGAAGGGGGCCGCAGAGTCTTAGGATTCTGGCAATCTGGCTTCTCTCCTGCAGTGCCCCCAACATTTGAGAACCCCAAGACAGAGAGGGTGAGCCAGGTGGCCGGGAGCCCCCTGGTCCTGAACTGTGATGTGACCGGGGTCCCTCCACCTACTGTCACCTGGCTGAAGGACAGAATGCCTGTTGGTAAGTGCATGCCACCCTCTCAGTGATGACTCGACAATGAAACCAATGGGGACTCAAAGGCTCCCTGTGTTTGTGCCCACATTCGGCTCCCACGAGATGGGTGCCGGCCTGCCCCTGGGCTTGGCCCCCGAAGCTGGCCCTTCCCCAGTCACTCAGCCGCATCTGGCCCGGCTGCCACGGGCAGCAAGTCCTGGGCACTAAAGGAAAGGGGGCACCTTGGCAAGAAATGGCCCTAGGGGAAGGAAATAGGGAAGGGCTGTGGGCAGGGCACCGAATGCTTAGAGACGCAACTGAGGAAGGTTGTGATGTAGGCACAGCAAGAGACCCCGCCCCTGTCTGGGCCTCACTTTCCCTGTGAGCCCAAGGAGGGGGTGGGTGACACAGGGGTTCCTGGGGTCCTGTGAGCTTGGGGGAGGGGCGCCTTCTCCGGGACTCCCGTGACTTTTGTGTCGGCGCCCAGTGGTGGCCCCCGCGGGGGTGCGTCCGTGGGTGAGGGCCTGGCACGTTCCTCCTTCCCACAGAGAGCAGCGTGGTGCACGGCGTGGTCTCCCGGGGGGGCCGCCTCCAGCTGAGTCGCCTGCAGCCCGCCCAGGCCGGCACTTATACGTGCGTGGCGGAGAACAGCCAGGCCGAGGCCCGCAAGGACTTCGTGGTGGCCGTGCTGGGTACGTCCCGCGCCCTACGCCCCCCTCCCCCGCCCCGTGTCCCACCCCGCCTTGCGCCGGCCCCTGCCGCGACCCCGGGCCTCACCACAGCCCCCACCACAGTGCCCCCCCGCATCCGGAGCTCGGGCGCCACGCAGGAGCACAGTGTCCTGGAGGGGCAGGAGGTGCGGCTGGACTGTGAGGCGGACGGGCAGCCCCCACCCGAGGTGGCCTGGCTGAAGGATGGTGGCCCGCTGGGCCAGGGCGTGAGCCCCCACCTCCGGTAAGGCCCGACCTGTGCCCCCCTGCCCCCCACCTCCCGCAGCGGCCGCAGCCCCTTAAGCGCCGGCTCTCCGGCCTGAGCAGGTTCTACCTGGACGGCGGTACCCTGGTGCTGAAGGGACTGCGGGCCGAGGACTCGGGCGCCTACACCTGCGTGGCCCACAGCGCTGCCGGGGAGGACGCCAGGCTGCACACAGTGAGCGTGCTGGGTGAGCGGCCGCGGGGCGAGGACAGGAGGGGCTCCGGAGGGTGATGCGGGGACCGGGATGTTGAAGTTCAAGCCACGGCCACGGCCACACCATGAGCCGGGCTGCCCTCTGGCCTCTCTGGGCCTCTGCATCGCTTCTTAAACTAAAGGAACCAGCACTTCCACCTAGGGGTGCGGCAGCAGAGGTGGGGAGTAGGGGGGCATGAGAAGAGAGCCACGGGGTGAGCCGGCGCCCCCATGCGGCGGGCTTCATCCTCACCTGGCCCCGATGTGGCTCTAAGAACCGCGTACACGATGGTTGCTGCTTCCTGAAATTTGCTGAGAGGAGCCCATCTTCCCCCCAGAGAAGGGGAAGGGGTTCCCCCCCCTCCACCCAGAGCCTCTCCGTCACCCCCTCACCGCCCTTCTCGTCCTCTCTGCCCACCCCCAGTTCCTCCCACCATCGAGCAGTGGGCAGAGGGCTCGGGGAGCCTGGTGAGCAGGCCTGGGGAGCTGGTGACCATGGCGTGCCCCGTCCGGGGCTCAGCGCCCATCCAAGTCAGCTGGCTCAAGGACTGCCTGCCCCTCCCGCTGTCCCAGCGCACTCGCCTCCACAGCTCCGGCCGCACCCTCAGGTAGGGGGGAGGCTCCCCGGCCCCTGGGCCCGCTGGTCCCAGACACGCTCTCCAGGCAGCTTGGGGTTCAGAACCCATCTGAATGGTTTTTAAATAAAAAATAATCCATAGAAACATGCAGAGGGCTATGATGGGGAGAGTGAGAGCCCCCCACCCCCAAATGGAACTCCAAAGATGAAAGGCGACTCTGCCCTCTGGTCCTTACAGCCTAAGGAGGGAGGGCAGGTGATGATATCTGGTGGTTTCCAATTCACCCTGCCTTGGGGTGGAGGAAAAATCAGGGAAGGCTTCCTGGAAGAAGGCTTCTGAGCCACGTCTTCATGCATTCCTCACCACTTACGGAGTGCTTGCTGTTGCCAGGCATTGGGATAGAGCAGTGAGCAAAATAAAGCTCCAGCGGCAGCTGGTTTATTAGGGGAGGAGAGTGGACATTAGATAGAACAAAGGAATGCCACAAACGTGTGCTGAAGAGTAAAGGAGGCTGAAGACTAAATGAGAGGTAGCAGTGGAGGCCGGTGTTTCAGGGTGATCAGCGAAAGGCACTCAGATAAGGTGACATTCGAGCAGAGGTGGACGGAGTTGAGAGAGGGAGCTGAGTGGATCCTGTAGGGAAGAGCTTCCCTAACCAGAAGAGGGTTAGAACAGCAGGTTCAAAGGCCCTGAGGTGGGCATGTGCCTGTGTGTTCAAGGATTGAGGGAAGGATTGGGGAGAAGACCAGCACGCAGGTGTCTCCTTGGGTGAGACAGCGCGGCCAGGGGAATTGGAAAAGCAGGAAATCTAGCCTCGGGGCGAAATGGGTCAGAGACGGTGGCCGAGGCCAGGGAGCCTGGGGCTGCATTCTGGGGACACCGGGGGACCAGGAAAGGGGTTTGGGGCAGAGGCTGGGCCTGTGCAGTGAGTTTCAGAGCTGCCTCTCTGGTAGGCAAGCCACTGGGCGACGGGAAAAGAGAGGGACCATTTCCACGAGCCATCCCTCCCCTCCTTCCCCCCCCACCCCTCTCGAGGGGTTCAGGATTTCCCAGGTGCAGTTGGCAGATTCTGGAACCTTCACCTGTGTGGCTGCAAGCCCTGCTGGTGTGACCAACAGGAACTTCACCTTACAGGTGCACGGTACGGACCAGGGATGGGGTGGGGGGTGGAATAGATGTGTCCCTTGGCCTTGGGCGTGAGAATCAGGCCCAGGGCAAACACAGAGACTCAGTCTTTGATTCGCTTGGTTGCTCATTCATTCATGCCGCAAGCAGCCGTTAGACCCGGCCGTTTGCCAGGGCCTTGCCGGACTCTGGGATGTGACAGTGAGCAGAGGTGGCCCCTGACACCGGGAGGTCAGCTCAGGAAACAGCTCTGTAAGGAGGCAGTCAGGGTTCCAGGCGACTAGTGACAGCAGCGGAAGGAGAGGGAGCTGCGGGAGACAGAAAAGGCCTTCTCAGCTGGCCTGGGGTGTTCAGGGAAGGCTTCCCGGAGGAGGTGAGGCCTAAGCTGAGGACTGGAGATGAGAAGGAATAGTCCAGGAGAAGGGCGTTCTGACGGATCCAAGAGCAGCCTGTGCGAAGGTCCAGGGGCGAGGGCCACCGGCTGCGGCCTGCGAGGACTGATGCCCGCTCTCGCCCTTCACAGTGCCCCCTGTCTTGGAGCCGGTGGAGTTCCAGAATGACGTGGTGGTGGTCCGGGGCTCCTCGGTGGTGCTCCCCTGTGAAGCCCGGGGAAGCCCTCTGCCCCTGGTGTCGTGGATGAAGGATGGGGAGCCCCTGTTGCCCCCGGGCCTCGAATGGGGGCCCGGCCTGCAGCTGGAGGCAGCCGGAGCTGGGGAATCGGGCACCTACTCCTGTGTGGCCGTGAGCGAGGCGGGGGAGGCCAGGAGGCATTTCCAGCTGACGGTGATGGGTGGGTCATCTGGCACTGCCCTGCCAGCTTCTCTGGGCCTGGGGGTGGGGTGGGCCCCCCCTGGGGTGATGGAGAAGGCGGGGGGGGGGAGCTGGTGGATCTCCCCAGGGGCTGCCGCCTGGGGGCGGGGTTTGGGGGATGGACAGACTCCTACCATTAGCTCTAGTTGGCTCTCATTGGCTCTCGCTGACCTTGCGGCGTCTCCTGGGCCTCCGCTGCTCAGCTCTGTCCCCTCAAATCTTGTAAAGCGGAGACAGAGAGCCCCCTGAAATCTGGAGGCAGGGCCCGAAGTCTTAAATGCAAGACTTTACAAATTTTCTGCCATCTTGGAAAGATTTGTGTCTGCTCTTTCTTCCCCTCCGTACCACGTGCTTGCCGGCTGTAAAGCACGAATAATTGTCCCAGGCAAAGGGGCCCGAGGTGTCCGGTGTTCTTAGGGTCCTCCCGCACAGCCCCCTGCCCCCGCCTGTGGTGGCCCCGTCTGCGGTCGGCTTCCCGACTGTGGGGGGCTTGGAGATGAACCCCAGCTCCCAGCACCAGGCACGTGGCAGACCCCGGGCGGGGTGTCTTGCAGATCCCCCCCACATCGAGGACTCGGGCCAGCCCGCAGAGCTGTTGCTGACCCTCGGCGCCCCCTTGGAGCTCCGCTGCGATGCCCAGGGCACCCCGCAGCCCAACATCACCTGGCATAAGGACGGGCAGGCCCTGGGCAGGCCTGAGGACGGCAGCAGGGTGCTCCGGGTGGTGGATGTGCAGGTGCGGCTGCCCTGCTGCTGTGCGCTGGGGCTGGGGGAGGGGAGGAGAAGAGAAGGACCCCACAGCATTTAGGCCGAGCTCCTCCTCTTTTGTGGGGCCACCCACCTGGACCGTGCCCTCAAGGGCTCCCAGCCAGGTCAGGGCCAAGGCTGTTGCGGAACCCGGATAACTTCTGCAGCCCGGCCACAGGAAGGCTGGTGCAGTCAAGGGGCCCTTCCTGGAGGAGGCTGGCTTTACCCTAGCCGTAAAGCAAAGGCCAGATGGAGCTAGAGAAGAAATGGCCCAGGTAGGGGAACGGTTGGAAGGGCAGCGTGGCCCACTCGGCCAGCCTGAGTCTGAATCCTGGGTCCCTAGTTGTGCGGGAGGGAGACCAGGTCAGGAGGCGGGTGGGCTGTGGCCAGAGGTAGTTGCTCATGGTGCTCCATCCCCAGGTGGGCGATGCTGGGCTGTACACCTGCCTGGCCCAGAGCCCCGCTGGCCAAGTGGAGAAGAGCTTCCGGGTCAGGGTTCAAGGTAGGGGTGCCGGGGTGGCGGGCGGAGAGGGAGGCTGGATAGGACCCCCAGGGCAGGTCCATCTCTCATGCCCTCTCTGCCGCCCACCTAGGCCCCCCTCACGTTATAGGGCCCCGAGGCCCCCGCTCTGTGGTTGGCCTGGCTCCTGGGCAGCTGGTTCTGGAATGTTCCGTGGAGGCGGAGCCAGCACCGCAGATTGAGTGGCACCGAGATGGCATCGTGCTGCAGGTGGGTGCCAGGCAGGGGCACCCCTTCTGTGCCTCTCGGGCCCCAGGCCCAGACCAGACCGGGTCCCAGGCGCTGCGGGACTGCCCTGTGCCGGTACTTTGTGTTCCTGCTCTCCTGGTGTTCTCCGCTCCTGTTATTATTGTCGCCCCCATATTACAGACAGGGACACCGAGGCAGGGCCAGGGTTTACGCCCAGGCCTTCCGATGCACATCTGTGTTCTTCCCGTTATACCTTCGAGCCACATGTAGCGGCTGTGTGACCCGGGGCTAGTTACTGAGGTTCTCTGTGCTCCCTCCTGAAATGGGGACCAAAGACTGCAGGTCTTCTGGAAGCGAGAGAGTCCCCTCGGCAGCATCCCCAGAAGGCCGAGCCCCCCGGCCTGTTTCCTGCCTGCCTGGGGCCTGGCCCCAGGGAGCTGAGGTGCTAAGGAGGGCCCCTCCTCCCCCGGACTCTGCAGGCGGACGCCCACACCCAGTTCCCAGAACAGGGACGGTTCCTCCGGCTGCAGGCCCTGAGCACGGCCGACGGGGGCGACTACAGCTGCACGGCCCGCAACGCCGCGGGCAGCACCAGCCTGGCCTTCCGCGTGGAGATCCACAGTGAGTGGGCCCCGCCCCTGCCCGCATGGCCCTCCTTAAAGCCACGGGCTCCCAGCACCCTCTCTCTCTGTGCCCCCCCCCCCCCCCCCAGTGGTGCCCACCATCCAGCCAGGACCGCCCGCCGTGAACGCCTCCGTGAACCAGACGGCCACGCTGCCCTGCCGGGTGGACGGCGCGCCCCCGCCCCTCGTGAGCTGGCGGAAGGACGGGGTCCCCCTGGATCCTGACAGCCCCAGGTGGGAGCCGGGAGGGGAGGTGGCGGGGGCGGGCGGGCACCTGGAGCCCCTAGGTGGCTGCACCGCCAGCAGCAGGGTCTCCTCTGAGCCCGAGGGGACAGGCATGTCCAGGGCGTTGAGGTGTCAGAAATCCCACGTGGCTGCCTGGTGTGGACTCGCGGTTGCTGATCTCTGTTTCTGCGTGCGGGCGCTTCGCGCCCCCTCTGCCTCTCTCTCGCAGACCGATTTTCTACACCTGCGTTCTCTGTGAACATGGCGGAGACAGCCCCCCTGACCTCCCCCTGCCCCCAAGTCATAGCTTCTCGGTTCATGCGATCCCCGTTGCCAGGGCAGGGCGTTCCGCTGGCCCGGCCTGAGTGACGTGCCCCACAAGGCCCGGGGAAGGGGCGCTTCTCAGATCTGGGGGGTGGGGGCAGACGCAGGAAGGGCTGCTGACTCTTAGGGAGGAGCGGGCCCAGGTGTGCGCACAGGAGACCCCTCCCCCACCACGCGGGGCTGGGATGCGGGGAGCTGCCCGTGGCCGTGACTTCCTCTGCCCTTGGCCTTGTGAATGCGGGACCCCAGAGTTAGCACCTTCTTGCTGGGAAAGGCAGGAGCAGAGGGGAGGGTCTAGCTGGAGACCCCACCGGGGTCCAACCCCTCAAAGGGCCTCCCGAGTCTGCTGGTCTCCATGGCAACCCCCTTCCTCCAATTCCAGGCTACAGGTTCTGCCCGAAGGTTCCCTGAGGATCCAGCCAGTCCTTGCCCAGGACGCCGGCCACTACCTCTGCTTCGCATCCAACTCTGCAGGCTCAGATCGGCAAGGCCGCGACCTCCAGGTCTTCGGTAGGTGACCAAGGGGAGGTATGTTCCTGGCCTTCGCCGTCCACCCCCAGTCTGGGCCGGGTCCTGCTTAGTTTCTGGGCTCGTCCTTGCTGTCAGGAGCCCAGAGCCACGATCTCTGTGTGTTTTTGACCACGAAGCCTACTAGTAAAACTTTTGAACACGCACACATCAGAGATGCACGTTGCTTTGATGCGTCTGGTACAGATGTTCACTACCGTACCGGCGTATCGAGCGGGTGATAAAAGGCACACAGAAGGCATTTGAGAGGATTCGACTCAGTCACTGCACCAGACGCCCTAAGCTGCTCTTCCCGCTCCAACGGGTCACCTTGGCGGAGGCCAGTCTGCTGGGCGCTGGCCTCGGGCAGGGCTGACGAGGAGTAGGACCCCGAAGTCTGCATTCAGGGAGAGGTGGCTGGCGGGCCGCCAGCCCTGGGGGAGAGCGCAGGCCCCGTCACCCCAGATTTGGGGTGCCTGTTGGAAGATTCCTGTAGAGTGTCTCTCGCCTCCCCCCCCGCCCCCATCCTGCGCCCTTGTCTCCCGACGATTACTCTCTCCCCAGAGCCTCCTGCCATCGCCCCCAGCCCCTCCAACCTGACCTTGACCGCCCACAGCCCTGCCTCACTGCCCTGTGAGGCCAGCGGCTCCCCCAAGCCCCGCGTGGTCTGGTGGAAGGACGGACGGAAGCTGGATTTCCACCTGCAGCAGGGCACCTACCGGTACTGGGCTGGGCCTCGGGGTAGCCCCCGCCCAAGGTGCTCCGGGCAGGGGAGGGCGTGCCCATCCCACGGTGGGGAGCAGGGTCAGAAACGAGGCAGGGATGGGGCGCCTGGAGGGCTTAGTCAGTTAAACCTCCAACTTCGGCTCAGGTCATGATCTTACAGTCCACGAGTTCGAGCCCTGCATCAGGCTCTGTGCTGACCGCTCAGAGCCTAGAGTCTGCTTCTGCCTCTGTGTCCCTCTGTCTTTCTGCCCATGCCCTACTCATACTCTGCCTGTCTCTCAAAATAAGTAAACACTGAAGGAAGGAAGGAAGGAAGGAAGGAAGGAAGGAAGGAAGGAAGGAAGGAAGGAAGGAAGGAAGGAAGGAAGGAAGGAAGGAAGGAANGCATTTGATTCCCTGCCTCTGATAGGAAGGAAAGAAGGAAAAGAAAGAAAGGAGGGAAGGAAGGAAGGAAGGAAGGAAGGAAGGAAGGAAGGAAGGAAGGAAGGAAGGAAGGAAGGAAGGAAGGAAAGAAAAAGAAGGAAAGGAAGGAAGGAGGAGAGGAAGGAAGGAAAGGAAGGAAGAGAAAGGAAGGAAGGAAAGAAAGAAGGGAAGGAAGGAAGGAGGCAGGAATGTGTTCGGGGTCTCAACAAAGCAAGCACCAGCATCTGTGTCCTGACCTTGGGGGTCTAGGACAGTCTTGACACTGAGATGCCTGATAGGGGGTGGGGGCGTTTGGGACATAGAGCCAAACAGAAAGGAATGGCTTTGAAAAGCATCACAGCCACTGTGGTCTAACGACGATCAATACCGATACGTGGAGGCATGATTCGGGTGGAGCCTGAGTACTTGTCTCCCCGTTTCTCACATGCAGCCGATCATGAAATGACCCCGGGGCACGTTAAATGAGTCCGCTCACGGACTAATTCACCAAATATTTGTTGTGTTGGGTGCCAGGCCATCACGGGGCTTTTGTCTAAAGCAAGTGCTCAACCGGGGCACCCGGGTGGCTGTCGGTTAAGCGTCCGACTTCCGCTCAGGTCATAATCTTGAAGTTTGTGAGTTCGAGCCCTGCGTCAGGCTCTGTGCTGACAGCTCAAAGCCTGGAGCCTGCTTCGGATTCTGTGTCTCCTTTCTCTCTCTCTCCCTCTCCCCAACTCACACTGTGTCTCTGTCTCTCTCAAAAATAAATAAACGTTAAAAAAACCCAAAACTTTAAAGCTTGTCCTCAACAGATGGGAGCTATTCCAATAAGCGACTTGGCTATGGTCGCTGTTAGGGAAGTCATCCGAGCTGTTGGCCGCTGAAAGCCTGCAGGGTCAGAGAACCACAGGGATAACGATTAAACCTGCCCACGAGCTCGACTGCCAGACCTTGAAGGGTAGAAACTTCTAGAAGGGACTTCTAGATTCGGGGCTGGGGGCCAGACTCCAGAGGAGAAACGAGACACCCCACCTCGGTCCCCTGCATCCTGATCGCTGCCCGCTCCGGTCGCAGCCGGCTGGGCTCGGGTCAGCCTGGCTGTCTGTCTGTCCGTCCCAGGCTCCTGCCCTCCAACGCCCTGCTCCTGGCAGCCCCCGGCCCCCAGGACTCGGCCCAGTTTGAGTGCGTGGTGAGCAACGAGGTAGGCGAGGCCCGCAGACTTTACCAGGTGACCGTTCACGGTGAGTTGGAGCAGAGGGAGGAGGAAGAAGACAGTGTGTGCGTCTCCCAATCCCACCTGCCCACGCAGGAGCTCTCAGGAGAGGCCTTGCCCACTCCAGAATGTTCTGAACCCAAATTTGACCTTGGCGTCACCCTGGTTAAAATTCCTCCCTCCACAGCTGCCCACGGCCCTCAGGATAGAATGCAGGGGTTACCGGGGCCCACAGGGCCTGGCCACCCCAAGTTCAGCTCAGCGCAAGGCCTGCCTCGCTCTGGGATCCAGGCAGGCTGCTTAGCTTTTAGTTCCTCACCTCAGGGCCTTTGCATATGCTATTCCCTCTGCACATGCTGTTCCCTCTGCCCTTCACCCAGCCAACCCTGTTCTTCCTTCAGGTCTCAGGTTAACTGGCACTTCCCCTGGAGGCCTTATCTGGCCTCCGCAACTCTGAGCTCCCTTCTCTTGTAAAATGCTCCAGAGATACCTCGCTGGTACCTTTACGGAAAGCAGTTCGTAACTGTGCCCTGAAGCCCAGCAAAAACTACTTCCCCAGCCAGTGAATGTGACCTCTCTGTTGCCCCTCCTTCCCCCCCCACCCCGGCCTTTCGTCACTAATGTCCCCTGTGTCTTAGTCTCTGTTGATAGCTGTCATCACTTGGCCCGATGACTGCGCGCTCCCCCAGTGGCCCTCAGCGGGGCCTCAAGCCTTGTCTTGCTTGTAGTGCCTCCCACCATTGCCGACGACCAGACCGACTTCACCGTGACCAAGATGGCACCCGTGGTCCTCACGTGCCACAGCACGGGAGTCCCGGCCCCGGTCGTGTCCTGGAGTAAGGCGGGCGCCCAGCTGGGGATACGGGGGAGTGGCTATCGGGTCACGCCTTCGGGTAAGTCGGGGGAAGCCTTGAGGGGAGAGACGGGGCATCAGGCAGAGGGTGTGAAAGCAGCGGAGAGTCCCGGCCTGACTCTGCCATTCCCTGCTGTGTGACCTGGGGGAACCGCTCACCCTCTCTGGGCCTCTGTATCCCCACTCACACACTGGTGCATTAATATTCGCCAGTGTTTCTCTGATGTTAGTTGACAGATCAGTGGGGCTTTACGGCAAAATGAGGAAAGTCATAGCTACGTGAGAGTTTTCATACAGCTGGTTGGATCTCCTTGGAAGGATTTTCCTTTATTCTGAAATCATGCTTTTCTTTTTTTAAACTTTTTTAATGTTTATTTTTGAGAGACAGAGTGTGAGTCAGGGAGGGGCAGAGAGAGGGAGACACAGAATCTGAAGCAGGCTCCAGGCTCTGAGCTGTCAGCACAGAGCCCAACACAGGGCTCGAACTCACGAACTGTGAGATCATGACCTGAGCCGAAGTCAGACGCTTAACCAACTGAGCCCCCAGGCACCCCATTATGCTTTTCTTTTGTTTTTTAAATTTATTTATTTTGAGAGAGAGAGAGCACGCGCAGGGGAGGGGCAGAGAGAGGGGGAAAGAAAGAATCCCAAGCAGGTCCTTGCTATCAGCGCACAGCCCGACACGGGGCTCGATCCCATGACCCTTGAGTCATCATCGGAGCTGAAATCAAGATTCAGACGCTCCACCTACTGAGCCACCCAGGTGCCCCGAAATTATACTTTTCTTAATATTTTAGTGTTAGAAGTTCTTTTCTCGTATGAGATCAAGGCGATAGCGGGTGGGTGACTCCGAAACGTCTTTGCTTGTCAAAATGAAAAGCGGGCTCCTTTATGGGGGTTCTCCAGATGACCTTTAGTCGTTAGTTGGTTAGCTAGTGAGCGCCACTGGCCCAGTCTGTGGTTTTCACACGCTTACGAGGCAGTAGAATCCTTTCCTCTAACCGGCAGTTACGGGGAATCCCGTCGTGTGAAAGACACTGAGGTTCTGGTTCTGTCTGGGACTGGGGTGGTCCAGGAAGGTTAAAATGGTGTTCACTGAGCAAGCAAGACTAAGACAGAAGAGGTAAAGAGAGAGGACAGATAAAGCAGTAATCTGGGGAGGCTTCCTGGAGGAGGCAACTTTCAAGCAGAACACGGCACAGGTAGCAGAATGAGGGTCTGTGGAACGATGGGTGGACCAGGGACTCTGGGCAGGGCGGTGGCCGATCCTGGAACATCACAGCTCGAAGTTTCTGGAGACCATCCTGTCTGATGGCTCATGGTGCACGTGGGGGGAGTGGGGCCCCAGGAGTGGAAGGGCCCTGCCTGCAGTTGGGCTCCAGACACGGAGCATACGCAGGCCCAGAACCCAGGTTTTCCGGGGCTGCTTACAGACGGGCAGGGAGGCAGGCTGAGTGGAGACCCCAGGGTGGGGGTGTGTCAGAGCCCTGCCAGCCGTCACCAGGGACGTGTGGCCTGAGTCCCTTGGCCCCCTCCGTGCCCCCCATGCCACCCGCAGGTGCCCTGGAGATCGGGCAGGCCCTCCCCATCCACGCCGGCCGCTACACCTGCACCGCCCGCAACCCCGTGGGCGTGGCCCACAAGCACGTGGTCCTCGCTGTGCGAGGTAAGGGTCCCCCCCAGCATGGGGAGAGCTAGAGGCGGGTGGGGGCTGGAGAGAGAGGCGAGGACCCGCTTCCGGAGGCCTGGACCTGCCTCTCTGCTCTGACTCCTGCCCCTTTTAGAGGCTTCTCTGTCTGGTGCTCAGAAGCCCCGCGGTTGGAGGGGCCTGGGTGTTAGAGGCGTCCCCAGGGACCTCTGTGGCCCTGTCCCCCTGCAGCGTCCCCCGTGGTGAACCCTCTGCCCAGCGTGGTCCGGGCACTGGCGGCCGAGGAGGTACTGCTGTCCTGCGCGGCCTCGGGCATCCCGCGGCCCAGCATCACCTGGCAGAAGGAGGGGCTCAGCATCCCCGCAGGTGAGTCTCCTCAGCACCAGGAAGGGAAGAGTCGAATGAGCCTGGGATCCGCGGGGGCACCTGCCGGAAGGTCCCAGAAAGCCCTGTCCCTGCGCTCCCTCCTGCCACCCTGTCTCTGTTCACCAGCCGGAGGGGTACCCCGCCTGAGCACTCCGGGGCTGACTTGGGAGGCTGGGGAGGGGGGTGATCCGGCGGGACTCCGGGTCTCTGTCCGCCGCCTCCCCCACCCCCACCCTGTGACCGCAACGAGTCGCTGGCCGCCTGGTCCGACAGAACAGGCCGCGTGGCCCCCCTGCTCTCCTCGGTGGTCCTGCTGGCTCAGCCGCCAACCCAGATGTCCTCCCCGCAAACCCAGGGGCGAGGACACAGGCCCTACCCGGGGGACAGCTGCGGATTCTGCACGCCAGCCCGGAGGATTCCGGAAACTATTTTTGCATTGCCCAGAATAGCGCTGGCAGCGCCTTCGGGAAAACACGGCTGGTGGTGCAAGGTGGGCCCGGGGAAGGGGGCTGAGGCAGGCCCCAGGGGGCTAAGGGGTTTTGGCGTCCTGGGCGGGTGGCACGTCCCTGCACCCTCCCCTGTCCCAGCCTGGCTTGTGTTCTGGAAGGAAGTGAGGGAAAAACGCCTTCTCCCATTTTGGGCCCCCTGTCTGCCTTCAGATGGTGACTTGGGTCCCTCTGCCTCCTCTGACCTTTCCTGAGCCAGTGGTCCGGTCATCCCTCATTTGTTTCGGCTTTCCAGAAACAATAGCCATTCTGTCCCTTCAGTCACCGTGTGTGCACTGGGATCACCCTGTCCCAGCTTCACCAAACCCAGCAGTCCCCAAATTGTCCAGACCACAGGCAGTGGCCTAGGACAGAGTTGGTGGAGGAAGGGGCGAGGAGCATGCCAGCTGCCGAGGGCACTGGAGCGGGGGCAGCCCCCCCCAGCCCGGCCCCAGTCCCCAGGTGGCCCCTTCTCTGCCCACAGTCCCGCCCGTGATCGAGACTGGCCTCTCTGACGTGTCCACCACCGAAGGCTCCCACACCCTCCTGCCCTGCTCGGCCAGCGGCAGCCCCGAGCCCACCATCACCTGGGAAAAAGATGGCCAGCCTGTGTCCGGAGCCGAGGGGAAGTTCACCCTCCAGCCTTCTGGGGAGCTGCTGGTGAAGAACTTGGAGGTGCGGCCCCCACCCTGTGTAGCACGAAGGGTCTATTAGTAACAGCAGGAGCGGAAAACACCGGCTGAGCACCCCGTTTGTCACGCCCCGTGCTGAGCGCGATGCAGCTTTTAATCCCAGGAATCTGGGGAAATCGGTGTCACAATCCCCAAGTACAGATGAGGAAACCAAAGCTCAGAGTGTATCCGGTTTTTCCGAGACACGCTGTTGCCAAGAGGCAGAACCAAGATTTGAACCTGGACCTCAGTGGCTGATGCCTGAGGGAGAGAAGGGGCCCTGGATGGGGCCGGACACAGAGATGACTTTGTGTCCCCAAATTGCACCTGCTTCTTCTTGACCATTCACTGTCGGGGACTTGAGCCCGGGGTGTGCGTGGGAGTCTTGACCACCTTCACCAACAGCACTCGGATTCTAGAATTACAAATGGGCCCCTCCCCAGATAGTTGGGTGGTTGCTCAGTGCGCACACCGGCTGCAGGGCAGGGTCACACAGTCCTCAGACGGTGGTGAGTGCACTGGCCCTGCTGGAGAGCACCATGGAACTTCTCAGGGCTCGGCTGAGCCCTCTGTACAAAGGCACCAAACGCAGGGCCTCAGGGGTGAATGGGGGCTTGGATGAGCTGGCACAGGGGACGTCCCGAGCAAAGGGTCCAGCACACAGTGGGCGTTGTTAACCATCGCGTGCTCAGGGCTTGGATCAGAGGCGCCATGGTGCGGTGGTGAAGCAGAGTGATTGACTAGAGCTGTGTGACCTTGAGCAAACCCCTCCGCCTCTCTGGGCTGCATGCTCCAGGAACCTGGGGGAGAGTGGGTCCCTAGGAGCTGGGGGTGGGTGCAGTTAACAGGCCGACCCCTCCTCCGCCCGCAGGGCCAGGATGCCGGAACTTACACGTGCGTGGCCGAGAACACGGTGGGCCGCGCCCACCGCCGCGTGCACCTCACCATCCTGGCGCTGCCTGTCTTCACCACCCTGCCCGGGGACCGCAGCCTACGCGTCGGGGACAGGCTGTGGCTTCGCTGTGCGGCCCGGGGCAGCCCGACCCCCCGCATCGGCTGGACCGTCAACGACCGACCTGTCACAGGTCTGAGCCTATCGGGAGCTGGTGGAGGGGACCCCCGGGACCCGGGGAGGAGGGCAGATGGGTGGGGGGGCCCCACCTAGTGGAGAGGAAGAGCATGCCAGTCTGCCTGGTGGGTTCTGGGTCTCCAGACTTGGCCCTCTGCGGGGGGATGGGGGGGCCCAAGCAAACACACATGTGGCCATATGTGACAGTCACATGTCAGACCTGGCGAGAGGCCACCTGCAGAGAAGAGACGCAGCCCCAGAGCCCTCAGGGCCGGGAGGGAGCTCGTGGTCCACGCCTGCCCCGCTGCTCCCATCGTGGGCCCCTCGGCAAGCCCCCTTCCTGGCCCCCAGCTGACGTTCAGAGAGGCACAGGGCACGGGGTCTGTAGTGGCTGTTCAGTGAGCGTCTGCTGACCTGATGACGGCTACGTCCCCTCCACTGCCAAATAGTATTTTCAGGGGCGCCCGGCAGGCTCAACTGATGGAGCCTGTGACTCTTGATCTCAGGGATGTGAGCTCAAGCCCCATGTTGGGCGTGGAGCCTACTTTAAAAAATAAAATAATTTTTTTAAATAATATTTTCAGCCGCTCCTAAACCGGAGTGCAAGCACTATGAAATGTGCATGGAAGCTCATCTGTGCGCCTGTGAAGAAGACCCTCCTGGGGAGGGTGTGGGGGGGAGTCATTCAGCCTCTCTGAGCCCAGCTTTTTCTCAAAATGGAGATGAGAACTGGTTTAATGCAGGAAGTGTTTATTAGTCGGTCCCCGAAGACCTACCCTCATCGATGCAGCAAGCTCGATGTGGACCTGAAAATTACAGAAGGCTCGTCCTTCAGTCGCCTCCTCTAACATGGCCTGTGCCTGTCGTGAATGGGCCTGACATGCTCAAGCTTCCACCCTCAGGAAGTGACACCTGTTTTCTATGTCTTTATTAAACACCTGCTGGCTACCCCGGCCTGAGTTAAGTATTCAGGGCAGGAGGTCCCTGGCACCCGGGGCTCAGAACCCTCCGGGGCATCTCTTTCTCCACCAGAGGGGGTGTCTGACCAGGACGGGGGCAGCACACTGCAGCGAGTGGCAGTCACCAGAGAGGACAGTGGGACCTATGTCTGCTGGGCCGAGAACAGAGTGGGCCGCGTGCAGGTCGTCAGCTTCGTCCACGTGAAGGGTAGGATCTCTTGCGACCTCTGCTAAACCTGGTCTGTTGGTTTTTCTAAGAAATCGGCCTCCTGACCTCTGAACAACTAATCCTCCATCCTGACTGTGCCTCAGGTCCCCTGGGGGACTTTATAAAATGCTGAGGCCCAGATCCCACCCCTGACACCAAAAACCAACCTCTCCAGGGGTAAGCCCCAGCATCAGTTTTTCTTCCGCGCCCCAGATGACTTGGCTGCAGGTGGAGTGAGGTCTGACCTGTTGGCCTGCACCACCACCCTCAGCTGCGTGGTGCCAGTGTAGGGGGAGGGCACAGGGGCCAAGGTTCCCTGGCAGAAAATTGCCAGAAGCTGGCCAGCCTACCAGTTGTCCCCCACGGCCCTGCTCAGTCAAGAGCAGCATGCTAACCGTCCAAGATGCCATGACTTAGTTTGCTCAATTTCAGGATGGGAGGGGGGTGGTGCTTGATAGAGGGGGACAAGCCACCCAAGGCACTGGGACACAGCAATCTGAGGAAGCCAACAAGCATGGAAAACTGGCACAGGGCATCCAAGGGTAGTTTAAGTCTCATCTTTAAGTCTCATCTGCATGAAGTGAGGATCAGGGACGTCTTAGTGTTGCTGTGCCCAACCGAGGTGTCCCGATGGGCATGCAGCCCTTGTTTTCCAAAGTCCTGGGCAGGTACCCCACAGCTGGGATAATCCGTCTGGGAGAGCAAGCATGTGACATCCTAACTGCCTGCCGTTCCTGGGCCCGGCTCAGGCATCACCAATCAATCACAGCACCATTCCCACTCAGTTTCAACTCCGTGTTCCATTGGACCCGTGACACGGAAGTTGTCTTCCACCCCCGTGCCTTGCTGGACCCACTGTGCGACAAGGATCCCCTCTGCGGATGGGTTTCTGGGAGGCCAAGCCTGAGGGAACCTCCTTTCTGACCCCTTGTCTGATGTCACCTCTCACAGAAGCTCCCGTCCTGCAAGGGGAGGCCTTCTCCTACGTGGTGGAGCCTCTGGGGGCCAGCGTCCAGCTGGACTGCGTGGTCCATGGAGCCCCGGCGCCCGACATCCGCTGGATCAAAGATGGCCTTCCGCTCCGGGGCACCCGTCCCCGGCACCAGCTACAGAACGGCTCGCTGACCATCCGCAGGACCGAGGCAAGGCGGGATCTGTGGCCGGAGGGCGGGGCCTCCCAGGACATCCCGCAGCCTTTTCTGATGGCTTAGCAGCATTCTTTATGTTTACTACTGCCCTCTACAGTCTACGAAGCACTTTCCTGCCCATCTCCCAGATTCTGCCCCCCAACAAACTAGAGTGCCCTCCGGCCGGCGACTTTTCTCTGTGCCTCAGTCACCCCAGCCATTCAGTGGGGCTAACGGTTTACAGTAAGAAATCAGCGAGATGACCCACACCAGGCATTTAAGAGTGACTGGCCCCTGGGGAATGCCAATAACTGTTATTATTAACAACCCCATGGGGTGGAGTAGACCAGTAAGAGTGCCCCCATTTTACTGATAGAGACATTGAGGCTCAGAGAGGCCCACAGTTGGTTAAGTTCCCCAGGCAGGACCCCATCCCCGCTCTCCTGATGCCTGCTCCGTGCTGTCAAAGCGATGGGTGTCAGGGCAGACCTGCTCACCCTCCCTGCTGTGTACCAGGTCCCAGAATCCACAATCCCATCCCGTCAGGCTCTTCTTAGGGGCCCGCAATCTCGCCCTCTACTGTTACCCAGGCCAGGCACTGGTAGATCCTTTATCTTTGACGAGCATGATGTCCTATAATGCTTCCGCAAGGCTTAGCGCAGATGACGCCCATTTTGGCAATGTAGATGACAGTGCTCTGGTCGTGAGTCAGGGATGGTCAACAGTAGGGCCAGGATTCGGTCCCACCCTGATCTGACCCCAAATCTCCACTCCTAGCTGCGTGCTATGCTATCGCATCGCACAGTCCCCTTGGGCGTGGCATCCAGGCTGCCCCCTGCTGGGTGTAGACGGTGGCCTCGGGCCGCCCCCCAGCTGCCATTCAGAAGGGAATCTGAGCCTTGTTCTTCCCAAGTTTCCCCCACGGGCCATGGTGGTGTGTGTCCTGGGGAAAGCTTCCCTCCCGCTAAGCTGGGGAAACGCTGCACGCGGTCTCGCCTCTGGAAGGCTCGCTGGGCTCTCTAGCACAGTAAAAGCCCCAAGGAATCCTGCAGCCAGAAGCGGGTTGTTGTCTGACTCCATGTTTCCCAAACCTACTTCACCACAGAACCTTTGTTTCCAAGGCACCCCTAGTAACATGCCACGGAGGGAAAGTCTCATTGTTCACAGTTTGGAAGAGGCGCATCTAAATCCTGCCTTTTGCAGGATAGGGCTCCGCTCCCAGCACGCGATCCCTGCCCTTGGTCACCACTACCCCCAGATTCCAGCTGTGAAAGGAGCTGGACTCTCTTTGGCTAAGTATTGACAGGCGGCCAGGGAGGTGCTCCTGATGGAACCGGCCACACCCTCCCACCCTCCACCCTCCACCCCTGCTGGCTTATGCTCTAAGCTCCTCCCCTTCATGCCCACCTGCAGACGGACGACGCGGGCCGGTACCAGTGCCTGGCGGAGAATGAGATTGGCGCAGTGGAGAAAGTGGTGATCCTCGTGCTGCAGAGTGAGTCTCGCCCTCCCCGTCGCCGGGGCCCTGGGTGGGGACAGTGCAGAGTGGGCGCCTGGCGCGTGGAGGCGGCTGTGCTGAGGCTGTGGTTGTGTGTCCCCGGCTGTCTGATAAGAATGGCTGGCAGAGGGGCGCCTGGGTGGCTCGGTCGGTTAACCATCCAACTCTAGATTTTGGCTCATGCCATGATCTCACCGTTAGTGGGTTCAAGCCCCGCGTCGGTCTCTGCTAATAGCACGGAGCCTGCTTGGGATTCTCTCCCTCTCCTCTCTCAGCTTCTTCCCTGCTATCACTGCTCTCTTTCAAAATGAATAAATAAACCTTTTTTAAAATGTGTTAAAAAAGAAAAGAATGGAGGGCAGAGAGGCAGCACTAGGGACTTGGAATTCTCTTACAAATATTTATTCAGAACACACAATTGAAGTCCTATGAAATGGCTCCCTGATTCGGGAATGGAAAGCGGGGCCAGGGCTCATGAATATCCAAGGACCCAACAGCCGGGCTTGGGGGGACCCATTTATTCGAACTCACCACCATCAAAAAGGTCGCAGTCACAGCTCTTGCATTTTTCAAGTAGCTTGCATTTCACAAAGCAGTGTCTGAGCCTTCAAGTGCCCCTGTGACATCATCTAAATAGGGATTTTTTAAAAAATATTTTAATGTTTTATTTATTTCTGAGAGAGAGAGAGAGCGTGAGCAGGGGAGGGACAAAGAGAGAGGGAGATACAGAATTCGAAGCAGGCTCCAGACTCTGAGCTAGCTGTCAGCACAGAGCCCGACTCAGGGCTCGAACCCACGAACCATGATATCATGACCTGAGCCGAAGTCGGATGCTTACCCGACTGAGCCACCCAGGTGCCCCTAAATAAGAATTTTTTTTTTTTTTTTAAACAACAAACACTTAGTTTTATTTGGTCACAGTTCCGCAGACTGGAAGTCCAAGATCAAAGTGCTGGAAGGGTGAGGGGCACCTGGGTGGCTCAGACAATGGAGCACCCAACTTTGGCTCAGGTCATGATCTCAGGGTTTGTGGATTTGAGCCCCACATCGGGCTCTGTGCTGACAGCTTGGGGCCTGGAGCCTGCTTTGGATTCTGGGTCTCCCTCTCTCTCTGCCCCCACCCCACTCATGCTCTGTCTCTGACCCTCAAAAATGAATAAACATTTAAAAGAATTTTTTTTAAGAAAGTGCTAGAAGGGTTAGTTTCTGCTGAGGCCTCTCCACCTGCCTTGCAGAGAGGCCACTTTCTCCCTATGTCTTCACGTGGCCTTTCCTTTGTACTGACACAATTTGGTGTCTCTTCCTCTTCTTTTTTTTTTTTTTTTTTTT